GATCGTCACATATTGACTCCACAAAGAAGACCTGCGCAGGTTGGAGGAAAGAAAGAGAGATTGGTAAATTCCTGTTTTTTTTCCTAAGGTTTCTATTAGTAAGGCAGAACACAATAACGTACCTTGTAACCGTTCTCCTGAGCGAAGCCGAGGATGACCTCTCTGCGCTCCAGCGTCGTGTTGGTGGCATCAAAAACCTTTAAGACAAACGAGTCTCAAACTATTTAATGTTACAGCAATTGTTGAACCTCACAAATTGTACAACGGTGCTTGTATTGCCCCAACATGACTATAGGACATTTTAATTCCATGATTATCTTTGCCAAAATAATAATTATCCATGATATTGTCCTAAGAGACGTACAACTCTTAATATGGCACTAAAACATGCTGGAACTTCTTCACATTGAATTTAGTTAGGAAACATATTTAGCTTGTGTTGGAGTTTGGATACATCCTACTTTAGTGAAAAAACTAAACAAATGTTAATAAGGTAATCATAAATCATACGGTTCCCCTGCATAAACGATAAACAATAGCAACTTCATGGGAGTCTGATGTAAGAGTTCATATGTTTTAAATCCAGCTCTATTTCTCACTTCTTTTTCATCACTATTTTTGATATTATATGATTAATATATTATATAATACTCTTATTTATTTCAACGTCACTGTTTACTGTTCATTCGCATACAGAGTTATCGTCGCTTTAAGGATTAAACGTTATTAAAAGGTGTATTTCTCTCACCACGATCTGCCCCAGCCCTCTGGTGAAGTAATCACAGACGTCTTTCAGAGCAGCGTTGGCACAGGACCTGGGATCGGATAGAAATAGAAAAAAACATTAATAATGCAAAATCTAGTCTGATCTAGACTGTCATACATAATGAAATGTTTTATACTCAAGGAGACGGGACATGTGAAGCGGCAGGGGTTAAATTGGGCCGGGGCTGTCCGGGGCTCAGCCCCGGCACATAGGACGATGCTCTGACGTTATCACCCTCGCTCATTTGTCATTTGTTTAAGCCATATGTTAAAACATCTCTCGTTCTTAATATAGACTTTATTTAGGGTCGATATGTGTTGACTTTACTTTAAAATAGCAGATCTCTGTGAGGATATAGTTTTTCCGCTTAGTGAACGTGTGTCTCTGCTCCGATCAGGAGCTGCAGCACCGCGGCTCCTTCGTGCAGAGAGTCTGCAGCGGTGTGTGTGTGTGTGTGTGCAGAGAGTCTGCATCGAGTCTGCAGCGGTACCGCCAAACCCCCGACCCGTCTTGTAACACGGAGCCCGTTTCCTACACCATCAGGGCCGGTTATAACCAATTTGCTGCCCTAGGCGAGATTTTAGCCGGTGCACTTTAAGCACACATTACTAGAGACCTGATCTACTGTAGGGGGTACAACTCTAAACACCCATATGAAAAAGATCGGTTTACATTTTAATAACCAAATATGTGAACATAACCAATAACCCATAGCCAATAACAAATAAATGTAACTTATTTTATTTTTGTTGTTCATTCATATCTTATTTTACCTAGTTAACATTTATTTATGCATATTTTTATATCTCTCAAGTTTACACGATATTTCTGGTTTACTGTCCTATAGTATACATTGAAATGATTTCAAACCTGTTTATCCAAATAATTATAAAGGAGTGCCTTGGAAATATTTGTTTACATAAATTGCATTTATCTCTCTCGCTCGCTCCCACGCCCACTTTGGCTGTGAGCTGCGGACGCCTGATAAGCCAACACCCCCCACTTTCATCACTTACAGCGCCCATCGTACAGGGCAAATGAAAAGTGTAACCGGGGTGAAAAGGGAGTTACATTTACTTAATTATGAATGTTGTTACATCAAGGCCGAAAATTAGGATGAGCGCAAACGGTCAAAAATGTTTTTTTCCCTCCCAGAGCTGCCAGCGCAGCGCCCCCCAGATCTGGCACCCTAGGCAACCGCTTATGCCAAAAACCGGCCCTGTACACCATGCTAAATGTATGTCTGCATAAAGCTGAGTTATGATCAGTCATAATAACACAGAATTTGGTGATGATTAAATAGCTTACAGTGAGATTTACTCCCATACTTTTGGCCATACTCACGCAGCCCTACAAATGAATTGAGATTTCCACACAAATGTTCTTTAGCAAGTGTGCAGAGCAGTGTTGATTTAAAAAAGCAATTTGAAGGTTGGATATTTGTAAACCTTTTTTTGTGTATATATATTAATAATTTAAGATGTAAATTAATTCCAGTTTATTTGTAGTACTTTCTATTTGTATTGTGACATTTGGTGGCATCAATGTGTGCATTTGATAAAGATAATGGAGCAGTTGCTTTAGGGCCACAGTGTATATCCCTTAAGGTCAAATAATGAGATCCTCGACCTCCGCCCCCCTCTCGCACCTCCACACAGAGCCCCCCCACATATCAAATCCCAACTTAACCCCTGTGAAGCGGCACAGTGTCGGATGATGAAGGTTCATACTTGCGTATCTTCATGGCCTCCTCGTTGTCCGGTCTGAAGAACTCGAAGCTGTTGTAGGAGCGCGTCGCATCTCTTCTGTACTGACCCACATTAAACACTGAGAGAGAATTAAAGAGATGGGTATTTGTCCAAACACATGTAGGTTACTTTGCAAGACAATCAGAGATATACCAAACAATAACTGGAGGCTAGAAGTCAGAGTTTATGTTGACATAAATCTAAATGTATATCAAATCAAGAGAACTTAGGAAAAATTACAACAACCTTTAAAACATTGTACCAAAGAAATTCCACTTGTCCCTGGCCTTGTTAATATTCAAGCACTATACCGTGTCTATAATAGCCAACATTAATACAAAATAAAACAAACAATAAAAATAAAGACAGATAAAAGCATCACAAATACATTTATAGGTTTAACTAGCCAGCCCAGTATGTCATTGTTGTTGTTGATATTTAGTTATGAGACATTTTGCACATTCTTGTCGTGACCCCAACATATTTAAAGAGGCCCTACTATGCTTTTTTTTTTTTTTTTGTGTCTTTCCTGTATTGTGTTATATAGGTTTTTGTGCATGTACATGGTCTGCAATCTCTTGATAAAGATTGAAATAATACACAATAAAAGATGTTTATATGTTGAGTGTGATCACATGATAGGGCTGTGCAATTAATCGTATTTTAATCGCAATCACGATTTTGGCCTGCCACAATGACGAAAACAACATAATCGAAAAAAACAATTATTTTGCTTTGCTAGGTTGTGACAGTGCACTGCAACATATTTGATCTAATTTATTTTGGTCTCATTTATTTGTATTTATCATATTTATATATGTTTAGTAGCTTGTGGAAGTGCGCTCCAAAATATTTGTTGATCTTGTTTATTGGTATTTATTATTTTGATTTTATTTAAAATGTATCATTTATTTTATTTATTTTTGTATTGGTTTTTCAGTTGAATTATAAGTTCAGGGTAATCAACAGTTAAAAAGATACTGTTCAAATTATTATTTGTATTTGTTTTAAAGTTCAATAAATGGATTTTTTTCAAAGTCAATGAATAATCGTATTTAATAATCGTGATATCAATTATTGACCCAAATAATCGTGATTATGATTTATGCCATAATCGCACAGCCCTATCACATGATGATGTTAGATAGTGAGTGTGAGTTTCAGTGTAATCTCGTCAGGTGATACCTTTCGTTGTAACTCCGATCCAGTTCAGGTATCTGGTGAGTTTTTTAGCTATGTAGGTCTTTCCTCTGGCCGGGAGTCCCACCATCACTATCATGGTGGGGGAGTTGGTGAACTGCGGCACCGAGGCTGAAACACACACACACACGCACACACACAGTGTTAAAACACCTGAAGACATGTTGATTTACACTGAGGTTTTCAACATTGATGGTACCAGGATGAAAACTACCAGCTTGGGATAGATAACCTGCTGCATAAAATGTAAAATAGAAGTCTTAAAGGTGGGGTAGGTAAGTTTGAGAAACCGGCTCGAGATACACTTTTTGTTATATTCCATGGAATGCTCTTAACATCCCGATAGCAATGAATATCTTAAGTGCTTTGACAAAAAAATCCATAAAAAAATGTCATCTGTGGAAGCCGTAATACTGTGAAAAGTACGACCAATCATCTGAGCCGGCCCGGCTAAAATAACTGGATGGCCTACCTGCCTGTCAGCCTTCCATCTGTGCACAAACTTATCTCGTGCCCTCATTGGTCATGTGCGCGTTCGTGTGTGTTGGAGGAGGGGCTCTATAAGGAAGTGGCAGATTTTTTCCGGCTGTGTATTTTCAAATTCTAGTGATCTCGAGCTGGTTTCTCCAAAATTACCTACCCCACCTTTAAGAGTTGTGTTCAAGGCCAAATATATCGATACTACTTTTTCTATCCGTGACATCCAGCAGCTGGTTAGCTTAGCACAAAGACTGGTAGCAGAGGAACACTTAAATGCCCTTTGAAAATAAAGCAGTTGTGATACATGTGGCCCCTCCTGGCCAGCAAAGAGAAATTAGCAATGATGATTTTAAACACTAAATTAAAAAAGTTGGAGTGATCATAATGAGCACCAAAAATATGAGGTTGATGAGTCCAGTAGTATGCGAGATATACTGTGGATATTCAGACAAACACAATACGCAACTAACGGTCCCATGAGACATTTTACTGCAAAATTACTTTTTGTTGCCAATACTTGTAATCAAGTATTTTTACTCAAGAAGCTGATTTGAGTACATCTTCCACCACAGTTTATGATACATATTAGTTAAGCATTATCATATTCCATCATCTGGCACAGAGAGTATGTAATTTCATTTCATTTCATTTAATCGTTTATTTGAATCGGGACAGTGCACATTGATGAACACTTTAAAACAAAATAATGCTTACAAGTGTAAATGAGACGGATTTTAGCTTTGAGCTAATTTCCGTCACATACAACATATAAGAACATGACATTTATATACATTGCAAAAAGAAATACATGATATGCAGAAAGATCAAGAGCAGCATATACAAGCATTAACCACGTGACAGTACAATGTAGCAGCTACGTGATATAAAGTGCAAGATAAGATAAAAGTGCTACATAAGAGTGCAAGAGGAGATACCCCTGTATTAAAGTGCATCTAGCGGTGATTACACGTCTGTTTGTTGCTCAACCATTCTTTGAGTTGACCTTTAAAACTATTGAGAGTGGGACAATCCCGTATCTCAGTTGGGAGGCTATTCCACAATGAGCTGCCTTTAACGGAAAGGACATTTTGTCCAAAAGTGGTCGGTCTACGGTGGACTTCACAGTCTCCTCTGGTTTCTGACCTAGTGCAGCGTCCAGTGTGTTTTCTGTGGATGAATTCCCCTAAGGGAGGGGGGGGGGGGCAGTCCATGTAAACATTTATAAAAAAAACACAGACTATTAAAAGACTTAAAATGGTAAAAACTCAAGAAATTGTGTTTTTCAAGGATGGTACAGTGGTGGTATGAATTTGGCTTTCTGTCAAACACCTTGATAGCTCTCTTGTACAGCTGTTCTATAGGTTTCAGGTTTGTGGCACAAGCAAACGACCAGTTTGTCAAACAGTATTCAATGTGGGATAGAATCATACAGTGGAGGTATGACTTTGCAGCATTGACAGTTAAGAAAGGTCTAATTTGTTTAACATTTTGCAAGTTGAATTTAATGGTATTGGATACTTTCTTAATATGTTTCTTAAAAGTCAAGTTCGAGTCCATTATGACTCCAAGATACTTGAAGTGGGGGACTACTAGTTCTATTTCTGCTCCGTTTAAAAACACATTGGATCCTTCGATTTTGACTGGTCGTTTACTGAACATCATGCATAATGTTTTTTTTTGCATTTAACTGTAAACAAATGTTGTTCAGCCAGTGTTGAACCTTGTCCAAAGCATTTGAGAGACAGGATGTGATTATTTCAGTGTTTTTCCCATGTACAAAGATGACCGCATCATCGGCATAATTATGTGAAAGTGTGGGATATCATCATCACATTAGTTGGCAGAAAGAAGTGTAATCGTGCTCTCATGGTGAACTTTTGGGGTGAACGTCCCTCCGGTCTCTCACAGAGCGACGCTGTGGAGAAGTCCTCTCAACTCAACAAAAAAACAAAACTCTCACACTGCTGTTAAAACGCTCTGACACCTCCTATAATGCACAGGAATCAACTTGTCAAACTGTGAGACAAAACAGCAAACAATGCGGTTTCCATGTGTGTGTCATATGGTGTGTGTGTGTCTGTGTCTGTCTGTGTGTGTTTCTGTGTGTGTGTGTGTGTGTACTCACAGCCTCTGCGTTGGCTCAGCCTGCTTTTCATCCATGGCCCCCAGGTCTTCTCCAGAGGATTTTGAGTGAGTTTTTTTGACATGACTTTAACAAGTGAGTGTGTGTGTGTATAAAACCTCTCCCTCTGTATGTGTGTGTATGTGTGCGTATGTGTGTGTGTGTGTGACAGGAGGGCCAGATAAAAAGGAGCGCTTCAGGTGAGAACACAGATTTTGTACTCTTTACCACGATGTTGGTGTGGGAGGAGTTTGTGAGTCAGCAGACATGATTGAGCACCTCTGATTGGTTGTTTAACCTGCCAATCACTTTAACTGAGCCATTAAAGCCCAGAACAAACTCATCCACCAATCACAAAGGGCAACTGTAGACTTTGCCTCAGCAAACAGGAAGTGAGGACACCCTGGTAAAAACCATGCTGAGCAGCTCCTTTATGATTCTGTCAGATGAAGTCAGTGGTGAAATAAAGAGTCACTATTATGCTTTTAGGAGTTTCCTTTTCCTGTAGTTTGTTATACAGGTTTTAGTGCATGTAAAAGGTGTGTAAAGGCTAAAATCCCAAAGTTCCCTCCAGAGGGAGTTTCTCTCCGATACATAGTGACATCACTATGTAGCACTCACGCTGCTATTGGCTAGCGCTCCAACACATTGTACGTGATAGGCTAAGGGGCGGGACATCTCTAAACTGTTGACCAATCAGAGCAGACTGGGCTCTGGTTTCAGACAGAGGGTGAAAAGAGGTGCTGCAGAAAAATAAAGAGCTTTTTGAACATTAAAGCATGGAGACATGTCACAAGATATATGAAGCTGAAAATGGGCACAACAGGGCCCCTTTAATTTTAAAGGTAGGGTAGGTAAGTTTGAGAAACCGGCTCGAGATACACTTTTTGTTATATTCCATGGAATGCTCTTAACATCCCGATAGCAATGAATATCTTAAGTGCTTTGACAAAAAATCCATAAAAAACTGTCATCTGTGGAAGCCGTAATACTGTAAAAAGTACGACCAATCATCTGAGCCGGCCCGGCTAAAATAACTGGATGGCCTACCTGCCTGTCAGCCTTCCATCTGTGCAGGAGGGGCTCTGTAAGGAAGTAGCAGATTTCTTCCGGCTGTGTATTTTCAAATTCTAGCGCACTCGAGCTGGTTTCTCCAAAATTACCTACCCCACTTTTAATCCCTCAATGACTTTGGGTTCATCTCAGCCTGGGCTTCATAATTACATGTTTGTATATAAAAACAACAACACAAAAACAACTGACATTGAGGAGGTGTGTTACAATATTTAGTACAAAGTAGGGTGTGTGTGTGTGTTTGTGTGAGCGAGAGAGACCGCAGATAACTGATCGGTGTGCTCGTGCAGCTGCCAGTACAGCTCTCACCTGTGCTGTGACACCGCACGCGCCGCCCCTGTGTCCATCTCTTCCTGAACTCCATGTGTTTCTTCTTCACGCAGAAACTCAAACACACACGTTGATCTCTCCCCCCGTTGCACAACTCCCCCCTATCCCAAAATAAATTCTTGAACCCCTCTCAGTGCAGCCATGCGTCCGTTAGCGTGAAGCTGTCCCCGGACTACTTCCTGTCCGGGGCGGAGGGGGACACCCGACACCTCCGCGCCGCACAACGTCCTCTCCGGGCGGCACATGATGTCCTGTATGTCAGGCAGCTCACACACACTTACATAATTCGGCACAGTGAACCATAATGATGAGGGTTTAATGTTGCCTTGTCATGCCAGTGGGGGGGCGAGGGGGTGTCATGTCATGTGGCTGTGCTCGTGGATCAATGACAGTGATCAACAGTGTGTGTGCGCATGCGCACAGTCCTTCTCTCCCACGCTGATACACAAATAAAGTGTGCGTGTGTGTTATATTTTATTCTACATTTGAGAAACTATGTATTGTTTTGAGTGTCTGTTGATTGTTATATGTATATTAAAATATATAAATCAACTACAATAAAAGTAATTTTTGCACAAGAATAAACGTAATAATTGCACTAGAATAGATAGTTACAGCACTAGATTAAATGTTATTTGGCAATAAAATGAGGGAATGCCTAGGGACTGCAAGTTAGCTAGTAGCTATTGGGACATCATTGGTATCTCCTTTTTGTTTTGTATGCATGGTCCTTAAATACATAAGACGAAGTGTGTGTGACTGTGTGTGTGTGTTAATGTGTGTAGGCTAGTTGATTGCATAACCAAGTTGCTCGTTCGACATGGACATGCGACCCTGTCAGCAGTGTGTGTGTGTGTGTGTGTGTGTGTGTGTGTGTGTGTGTGTGTGTGTGTGTGTGTATGTATGTATGTATGTGTGTGTGTCGCTGTCACTCACCGTGCGGACGATGGAAGCGGAGCGCCCTCATCTTGCCCCCCTGCGGCTCCGTCCCGTCTTGCGTAATCATCGCTCCGTTCATCCTCCAAATCTATTCCAGGCGGAGTGTGTTATGCTATATTATGTTATTATGTTATGTGTGTGTGCGTGTGTGCATGTGTCATTGAGTAGATGTGTGTGTCGCTGCTTCCACCCAGACGCCGTGTGATGGCGGGTTGATGCGGGCAAGTTGCAGCCTGCTAAGTCCTTACAATGTTGGTCCTCGTCCTCAGTGTGTTCCCTCTGGTTTAGTAGTTCTCCTGAAACACACACACACGCACGCACACGCACGCACGCACACACACACACACACACACACACACACACCGTCTGCGTCAGGAACTAGTCCTCCAGGTTTAACTCCTTGTTACTCCTCCTTTAGGTAATAACCCATCCAACTTGTGATTGTGCAAATAAATATTCCCATCATCCACCACGCCTCTGTGTCCTTCCTGCAAGGAGCTCTGATGCTGCAAACTGCTCCTCTGAGTGTGTGTGTGTGTGTGTGTGTGTGTGTGTGTGTGTGTGTGTGTGTGTGTCATAGCACACATTATTTCTGTTATGTTCATTCATTGGTTGTATAACGTTTAGGATGCATTGATAGCGTCACAGAAAAACTTAAAGGGGCACTCCTACTATTTTACAATTGGGTTAAACGTTATTTTAATAGGAAATATTTACCAAACTTCTCCACCAGGGATTAATATAGTACTCTGATTCTGAAATGTGGACAACCATAGTGCAGTTTCAGATTGTGATTTGAGGATAAAAAGTTATAACAGAAACATTTGGTTGCACCCTGGGATTTTGTCTATAAAATGTGTGTGTTTAAGATGGACTGTGGAGAAAGTCACCCTTAAGGTTTTTTTTAGTAGTTAAAGTCATTATTGGGGTTAAAGTCCCCTACGTGTGCCGTTTTGGTTTCAAGACCCTGGTTCGCGGAGGATACCAAGTCCTACAAAAGAGAAGGTAAACTTAACTATGTGCATTTAAAAATAAAAAAGAGGAATAGTTTTGGCGAAAACTAAAAGGTGCCATGGGGTCAGATTATGGGTGTCACCATCTTGTAGGGATATGTTCTTATCACAGTGACCTTAGGAGGCTGCAGGCTAAAATACCTTTTCTCTCAGCTGCTGCGTTTATCTGCCAGCATCCAGTCCAGACTTGTTTTTTTGTTGTTGTAAATGTTCAAGGTCCGACCTCGTTACATTTACCTCTAGAGTTTTGCCTCAGACATATCTTGTAGAAACAGAAGATAAGTTATGAAAGAGCCCAAAGAGTTTATAAGGTCACATTTGATCAGATCTGCAGGAAGATATTAGTGACGTGTGTGAGAGAGACAGTTTCCTGTTCCACTGCATTCCCTTCAGACACATTATCTCTCTCTCATATCGTAAACAGTGTAAGTCAGTACACAGTAAGTCCATCAAGTATAATATTGATGTACATGTCCTTTACTTAAATATTTCCATTTTACGCCGTTCCACTTCACTATAGTTTATATCATTGCATTTGACTGTTTTAGTAACATTTCATATTAAGATTCAACATTCAAAAACACATATTAAACTACCCTAAACTGAACTTAAACTTTAAGTCCAAACTCTTTTGTGACTGCAAATGTGTTGGTTGTGTGAACTCAATACATTGGATGTAAAGAGGAATATAGGACTAGGGTTGCAAAGGGGCGGAAAGTTTCCGGTAAATTTCCGGGAAGTTTCCGGAAAGTTTCCATGGAAAGTTAAGCTGGGGAAGTTTGGAAATATTCGATGCAAAATTAAACAAAAAAACATGACATTTCAACAGATTTTTTTTTAAATCTTTTTTTTTAAAAGTAGAACAGAACAAGTTTTAATTATTTTATTGAACAATTATTTGTTTCATTGAAGAACGAAAACAGGAATGTTGAGTTAAATGTTACTCATCCCCCCCAACCCCACTCATTAAAAAATGAACAAAAATGCACCCCCCATCCAAAAATCCCCACAAAGTCCCATTCAAAATGTTAAATGAAAAGAGCCCTTCTCCCCCCAAAAATGCCAACCAGTTTTTCCACTCTCACATTTGTGAGCCTGTTGCGAACCTTTGTGTGGTCTCAATAGCCATGCAGTAAGCAGTGTGCTATGGTATGGATATTCAAGTGTACTTGAATGGCATCTGTTTGTTTTAGTCAAGATTATGCTAAAATATACTTTCCCCAACTATATTTAAGTTCCCTATGAAGAGCCAACCTTCAATTTTGAAAATTCCCAGTTTATTCCCATAAATTCCCGTGGAAAGTTTCCATTTTTGAAAATTCCCGGAATGTTGCAACCCTATATAGGACACCCTCAAATTGGGACCAATCTGCTGCCACATTTAACTTTAATCCAATGCTGGGACTCTTGTCTGTTCCTAAAAACTGGGGACAAGGTGACCTCCATCTACTGTAGGTTATACAATCACTATGGATCTAAAGTAACTCATACAACACCTATTTCAAAAACTCAGTATTATCTCTGAGATAATACAGAGATAATACTGAGTTTTTGACCCTCATTCCAAGGGTCTAAAACTTAAACTGGTTCCCAAAGACAGTGATGTTCACACACACACACACACACACACACACACACACACACACACACACACACACACACACACACACACACACACACACACACACACACACACACACACACACACACACAAAGAAGAGAAGCATCTGTTTTGTTCAGGATATGCGTAGTAGTCCATGTTTATTTATTAGTTGACAGTCTGGGGTTAGTTTGTCAGATACAGTACAGCGCACAATGCAACAAGCAGGTACAACATCAGCACACTTTAATATTGCAATACACCCCCCCACCCCACCTGTTAATGTGTGTGTGTTTGAACCACCGCCACACACACACACTCCCGTGTCCAGTGTAATCCTGTCCCTGCTGGATCCTGTGATACTGATTAATTCATTGTTACTCACTGATGATGTCATTGCTCACATAGCATTGTTGTTGTTATCTATAGCAGTATTGTTATTATTTATACCTACATTTTTTTGTCTTTTTTTATATATTTTTCTATTTTTTATGTTGTATTTTTTCCCCCAAGGTGTTTATATGTATAAAAGAAGGCTGCGACAGAGACAGACAGCATCAGGAGCAGAGAGACAGGCAGGAGGCGGGTCCAGACGTTCAACAAGGCAACATGTCCAGACTGTGGATTATTACACTGAGATGAATGGAGGAGGTTATTGTTCATTTGGCATTTTGTTTCACAGGTTGGTTTAACACAAACAGGAAATGGAAAGGTAAACATCCTGTCCAATCATTCTGGTGATGGGACCCCAACATGAAGAGTGTGTCACCACCAAGTCGGCTACATTTGTAAACTCCTTTTTAATCTTCCATGCAGGTTATTACAGTGCTTTTCTCGCCCGAAATCGCTTTGTGGTATTCATTTTAAAAGCCCAAATACTCAGATACGCTGCACAGTTGGCTGTGATTTAATAACGTTTTTTAAACTCGTTTTTTTATGGAGACAGAAACATTATAATTGATAAACAAGCAGAGCTTTATCATGAATTTGGCTGAGTTAAAAACACTTCCGACAATTCAGAAGGTTTTTCTCAGCAAGTTCAATTAATGTCACGACTAACAGGTATTGTGTGTGTATACAAGCTGGAGATATCTCCTTATTGTTCCATAGAGCTCCATTGTTGTCTAAAAATATTAAAACCACATAACTGAGCCTCATTGAACCATAGGGTGAGATGTTCCTTAATTACCGTGAACACACACACACTGCAGTTGAGTCAATACCACACACACACCGTCCTGCTCCCACAATTAATCACTAGAGCACCGAATGTGGATTAATCCGCCACTGAAAATAGTCCCCAACAAATGCACTATTTAGGAAATTGCTGAAGTTTTAGACGAAGAAACGATATATTTGTTTTTGCAAATGTAAATGATTCCTTTTATGGAATTACACACACATTGAAAGCTGAGTATTTGTGTCTTTAAACATGACTGGAGGAACCAAAGAGATAAAGCTGAAAGCCACTGACAGGAAGTATTGAGACGGGCATATACATTGTTGGTTTTGGTATTTGATGGGATTCTTTGACAGAAATATAAACAGAAAATAATAAGTGTGTGAATGAACCCATCGGTGCCTCCTGTCATTCTCTGCTCCACAAACATTCAAAAACAAATTTCAGCTCTGGGTCCAAAATCACACGAGAACTTCCTGCCTGGTAATCCTGCATCTTTCAGATTAAGTTTATCTTGCAAAGCGGAGCCACAAAAATAAACCCTCTTAGTATTGAGACCGATCCGTCCTCACAAGGCTGCGTCTCCTCATTTAAACAGCACTGCCATGGCGACGTGGATCAATGCTAACATTTATGACTTTTAATAATGAATATTATCTGCTGCATCTCTAAGCGCTATAAAGAAACGGATTCTAGGTTCCTCTAAATGTCTCTGGACTACTAAATGTGACACAAGAGGAAAACATAATGCTGGGGGGGGGGTTATGATACAAAACCAAACAGAGCAACAGATAATAAAAAAAACAATTACAATTTGATCCTCTTATAAAAGAAGCAATGGAAATAAAAAAATGACATTCTCAAGGTTGTATTTACATTCAGAGAACGATAGGTCAGATTCTCTTCTTCCTCCTCCTCCTCTTCCTCTCTGCTTCAGAGGGTCCCTTATGGTTTTGCTACAGAGGACCGGCCCTGCATGTGGTTTTCATTGTCCTCCACTTTATGCATGCATCAGTATATATGTGTGTGTGTGTGTGTGTGTGTGTGTGTGTGTGTGTGTGTGTGCGCGTGTGTGTGTTTCTCTCTGTAAACACATTCTACGGTGGCCCTGACAATTTATACATTATAATAACTGATTTTTATTTTTGTACATTTACATTACTTTTTTCCCTGAATATTAACCCCCTTCCTCAGTGCCGTAAACTATTGTAATTGAATTTTTTTAACCCCAAATGGACCTTTAAAGCCGGTAAGTTTTAAGCTAATTTCCATGAATGTAATGAAACAGTTTTGTTTTTGGTCTCCTCTTTGCGTGTGTCCTTATGTGTTTGCAGGTCTATGATCCTTCGGGGCCACCGTAGAAACTTGGTCCTGCATTTCACCTGCTGATCAAACAGGAGGGTGATGGGTGTGTGTGTGTGTGTGTGTGTCTGTGTGTGTGTGAGGGAAAATGGATGATTGACAGACGGATGGACAGAAAGGAGGAGAGGACGCTCAACTGGACTCTCTTAAGGCAACAGATCTCCCATCACTGCAGGTAAAAGCAGGGATGGTGAGCAATCACACACACACTCACACTCACACACACTCACACTCACACACACTCACACTCACACACACACTCACACACTCACACACTCAAACACAGTAACAGTCAGTCATAAAACTCATACGCTAAATATCAAATTATGAAAAGCCTCAGCGAGGGGCGTGCATCTTAGGCGCTCTGACATCAATAAATAGAAAGCGCATCCCCAGACGCATGCACAGAAACATAAATATAAAAACAGCACGAAGAAAGACACGGAGCGGTGACGGTTGACGAGGACGTACACAAAACTCAAAGTGGTGGTGTATATATAAAAACGATGAATATGACTTTGAATGTGTTAATGAAATGGAATAAATGTTTGTACAAGATGGATGACATTTTGGTCAGACGAAATGAGATTTCCCTTTTCTTTGAGTCACTCTTCATCACAACAGCCTTCCTCTTCCTCTCCTGCAGCGTTGCACCGGCTGTTTGGAACTTTTATTTTGAAGAAATTGAAATTTTGGGATACAGTTTTCCGTAATTTTAAGGTTGCGTTTAATTAATTCAACTGTAATGGCGTTGTTGTCTACCAGAAGCTTTCATAAATATACTTTTGATCCAGGTTCAAGACACATTCTTTATGCTACACCTTTAAGATATTGGTCTGTTTTTTGTTTGAATAAAGGTCTTATTATTGGATGTCTGGGGGTTGAGTTATTGGAGATATAAGCTAAACAATTGTTCAAAACAGCCACATTTGAATTGTCTTGTGACTTGTTTTCATCAGGCGAATTGTTACTAATGTTACTGTAACCCCCTTAATAGACGTATTCAACTCCTATGTTTGATAAACAGCTGGTGCAACTGTCTGCAAACCTCGTTCTATCTTTCTGGAGTGAAGAGCTTTCTGATTGGAAGTGTTTGCTCGTAGGTGTGAGTGTGTTTCTGTGTGTGTGTGAGGCGTGTGTGGGTGTGTGTGTGTGTGTGTGTGTGTGTGTGTGTGTAAACTTGGAGTAGAAAAGGCGAGACATCCTGTAAACAGCTGCACTGCATAAACCTGTGGAATGTATTGAGACGGTGTGTGTGTGTGTGTGTGTGTGTGTGTGTGTATGTGTGTGTGTGTGTGTGTGTGTGTTTTTGCACTATAACATTACAGGCAGTGGAGTCAGGAGTGGTCTGTCCCTTTGTGTTTCGCAGTGTGAATGTGTGTTTTTCTGTAATGTGTGTGTGTGTGTGTGTGTGTGTCTAGCTGGGCCGGTCGAGGATGGTGGACATGGACGGAGCGATGGGGGGAGGCGGGACGCCGTTGTCCGGGGAGGCGGGGCCGGAGCTCTCGTGCCCAGGGGGGGCGGGCCCTCGGTTGCTGTACTGGCCGATGAAGGACCCGTCCTCGTTGAACTGGATGTCCACGCTGTCCCCGTACTCTGCGAGGGAGTCGTCGCTGCCCAGCTTACTCTCCCCACACAGAGAGGGCTGGCTCTCAGAGCGCTTCTCATCCGCATCGCTGCAATACAGAGCAGAGGAACTCGGTCAGAAATGAAGGACAATTGTTATATAAAAGCTGATATTTGAAGAGTCAGAGTTGTGAGCAGGGAGGGAATCTAAGTACTTTTAATCAAGTACTGTTTTGAGGTTCTTAAAGAGGACATATTCCGCTCATTTCCATGCTTTAATGTTCAAAATTTTTCCTCATACTGCTTGTGCTGCAGCACCTCTTTTCACCCTCTGTCTGAAACCAGAGCCCAGTCTGCTCTGAGTGGTTAGCTGGCCGGCTCTGTTGTGATTGGTCAACCGCTTAGAGATGACCCGCCTATCATGTATAATGTGTTGGAGCGCTAGCCAAAAGAAGTGCAAGTGTTACATAGTGACGTCACTATTGCGGCTTTCACACCAGCGCTTTTCCCTTTCTAGCTCCTAGCTAGAGCTTTTCTGGTTCAGCTCCAGTTTCCCTTTTCAGCTCCCGCTCTGTTCACACCGCCCAGCTGCCGCTGCTGCGTCATGACGTCACCGTTTACATCGCTGATTTTCTCCCCAACGGAGCTCACAACAACAACAACGGGCCGGGGACTGCGTCGGGTCGATGATCGTGTTGCTTTTAATCATACGAAGCCAGATTAAATTAAATAACGACTTCTCCAACCTTATACTTTTCTCCAGAGTGCCGTGGTTCATTGTTTATTAATGTGTTTCGGCGGCATTTACCGACCGCTGCAGTGCTGGCTGCTCTTCCACGGGAGTTTATTCTCCCGTTAGCTCCGGGTTAGCTCACACGGCTCTAAAGTATTCACTGTCTGACTGTCACACAAGCAGCTGATACATATCCCCAGTTCCCCTTAAGTGAATGTGTGTCAGTCTGAATTGACGCTGTTTGGTGTCAGTCTGAATTGACGCTGTTTGGCATCACAACGCTGTTATGAAAGTTTCTCTGGTATAACATGGGTGATGTTAGCATAGCAACCGAAGCTAAACTGACTACTTGCTAAGCCGTTTTCTACAGGCACTTTTTACCGGCGTATTTTTCATTATGATTCTACTTGTGATAGTCGGACATGACAACCTGTGCAGCCCATGTATTGATTCCATCCGATAGCTGCTATAATAACAAACAAAACGTCTGCCTGCTCTCCACAATGATCAATAACAGCGAACGGATGGTCAAAGTAAGGTACAAATAAACAGAATCACACGAAGCCTGGTTAGTGTTGCCTGACTTTATAAAGCGTTTTTTTTTTTTATAAGTGTGTGGTTGCCTTCTAGTCACTTTGCTCAGCGCTACTGCTTGTAGGCAGGCATGACGAGACTCTTCAGTCGACCCATGTTCAGGGGAGGTGGGTTTAGTTTCCTGCATGCCTCGACGTAAGAGAGACGTAAGCGACGCCGCCTCTAGCTCCGAAGCTCTTGCCTCTAGACCGACAATTTTTTGGAGCTGGAAGTGAACCGCATTCCGGAGCTATGACGCGGCGCCACTGCGGTGTGAACAGGAAAAAACCGGCTCGGAGCTGGAAAAGCGCCGGTGTGAAAGGGGCATATGTTACAGAAGTAAACAAAAAAGTCCAATGGAGGCGTTTCAGGGGGGGGGGGGGGGGTGAGAGGAACTCGCTCTGGACCATGCAGACCATTTACATTCAACATCCTATATGAACAGGTTGTTGTACTGGTGGAATTAGTGGATTAGTAACTGGGTAAATGAAAATAAAGGCCTGGGTCTCTCCGAGTTTTTAACATATTTAACGTTCTCACCTCTTCAGAGATCTGCAGGCAGAGCATGAAGGAAAGAAAAGTGGGAATAAAAAGGAGAGAGAGCCAGGAGTGTTAGAGGTAAAGGTAAAAAAGCAAGCAGTTAGAAAATAAATTATAAATGAGTAGAGATTTCATTCCAAAGTGAAGATATTGAAATGTTTAGGCACTAGGATACCTGACAACAAATAAAACCTTCAGTTGCGGTATGAAACAGAGTCATGTACTGTTTTGACATATTAAGTTGAGTATATTTTCAAGCTATACAATTCTACTCAGCTAGATTTAGTAGGCAATATTGTAGATTATATTATATATGTACACTAGCTACTTTGTGTACATACTGTAAGGATACGCCTATATGTTATGATGCAGTACTGTGCTACTGATGCAGTACTTTAAGTATTAAATTGTTCTTAAATTGGCTCAACAGTGACAAACTACAGCAACATTTGTTGGTGATAAAAAAAGAATGACAATATTCTACAATCATTAGATACTGTGAAAAGAGCCAATCAATACTGAGTACTTCTTATTGTGATACTTAGAGTACATGTTGCAGATAATACTTCTGTACATCTAGGTAAGTAATATTTTCGATTCAGGATTTTTCTTGTAATTTCTTTAATTTGAGCAAAGGATCTGAGTGCTTTGTATGATGGGAATTTACAGTGATTCAATATGTATGTAGGTTTCCTGGCAACAAAATGTTCTCAGACAGAAAGGTGTCGCCCTGACGATTGTCAGGCAATTATCATATGGATGTTAGGGTTTGTAATTAACATGCTGCTCTTCCCCTTCTGTCTGCCCCCCACCCAATTTAGGACTGTAATGTGGATTGCCTTCCTTGTGTCTCATCTCTATAAACTGCTTTTCTGTGTAACGGGGTCAGATCCTGGTGCTATCTGCTAGTGCAGGACCTCTGTCCTTTCCAGCTGGAAATATGATTGATTCTGTTAATGCTATAACTCTTATTAATAACAGGACTTTGGTTTAAGCTTGTATGTTTGTTCTTTTCTTACCAGAAGGTGATCAAGTGTGGAATTTCCACCACACTTGGAAATAAAGTCGCTCAGGTTTGTATTTGACAGAATACAAAGGTAACGGAAAACAGTGAAGCTGAGTGAGGAGGAACTGATTATAAGAGTGTGTGTTGGTCAGAGCATCTATCAGAGTGCTTCCTCTTAAAAGCGTCTTTACTGTCGGCTCTTTAATGCAGAGCGGCTTCTCTGAGAGGAATCTCTGCTCAGACAAACAGCTTCATACATCTCACAGTGGAGAACCAGAAATAAACCACAAAGAGCAGCTGGAATCACTCAGCAGGAACATGGTGACCATATGTTCATCATCAAACTGACCCTCGCTGGAAGCTTGGTTTCCTCAAGTGGTGGAGAGTACATTTACTAAGTGTGTACAGTTCTGTAGTTTGCTTGAGTACGTCCATTTTCTTCACTTTATACAACAGTAGAAGTCCAACTGAAAGTATATATCATGTTTGCTGCAGCACAACATATTTAATTCACACGTTCTCTCTTTATAATTCAAATCAAACATCAAAAGGGAGAAGTGTGTCGTTTTTAGTCTCATAATACCTCTGCGTGAATGAGGCGGTAGGAGGAACTGGCACACACACAACTCTAAAAGCTAAAGAACGCCACAAAGGAGTTATGTTTTGTGTTGCAATTTAAGATATATATGGGTACAGAGCATACAAAAAGAGTAAAATACAATAAGAACGATCACTGTGGAGGAAAAACTAAGAATCCTCAAAGTAAGAATAGATCTGGCAACTGTTGTTATGCTTTATTTTCAAAGTAGGACACATCCCCATTAATCTTAACAATGAGCAATGAGTGATAAACGGAATGACCTACTCTTATGTGAGGATGTCATGTCTTTGTGCAGTTTGTACGTTTGGTATGGATGTTCCTGGATACCCTCAGGATTTTTTTTTAATGTTGCTTGATGATTTATGGGGAGCAGAGACTCACCTGTACTCTCCGAACGTCTCGTCTTTCATGGGCCGAGCCTCAGAGTCCCCCTCCTTGTCCTCTTTGTCTTTCACTGTGAGAAACGACATCCATCAAAATCTGCATTACAGGCTAACGTCTGCATGTGCATGTGCCTGTGTGTGTGTGTGTGTGTGTGTGTTTAGTTGTGCATTGTTTAAAGACCTGGAAAGGGTTATTAACGCCTTTGTTACCTCGAGGTTGGACTACTGCAACGCTCTGTATGTGGGTATGGACCAGGCGTCAATTAAACGCCTGCAGCTAGTGCCGAACGCAGCTGCACGTCTACTCACTGGCCACAAAAAGCGTGACCACATCACCCCAATTCTGGCCTCACTGCACTGGCTTCCAATTCGGTTCCGAATTGATTTTAAAATCTTTTTATTTGTTTTTAAAGCACTAAATGGGCTGGCTCCGGCCTATATAGCTGAACTCCTCCAGCGCTACACCCCAGCCAGAGCTTTAAGGTCTGCTAGTGCCCAAGACCAGGCTCAAAACCCGAGGGCACCGAGCCTTCGCAGCAGCTGGCCCTAGGCTCTGGAACACTCTGCCCCTCCATGTGAGGTCGGCCCAGACCCTAGGGGTTTTTAAATCTACTCTTAAAACACACTTCTTCTCCCTGGCCTTCTAGTTAGAGCGGAGCACGACTTCCTGACTTTTCCCTGTGTTTTTTTATACATCTGTTGTAATTTATTGTCTTTTATTGTGATTGTAGTAATGTGTTTTTATGTGATTGTAGTATTTATTACATGTACAGCACTTTGGCCCGGCCAAAAATCGCTTTTAAATGTGCTTTATAAATAAACTTTGATTTGATTTGATTTGATGAGAGTCTGTAGCACTAGGCCATATATCGATGAGACTAATTTATGTCTTCAAAATGTCACATGGCTTAATTTGAGTCTTTTCCTTGTTTTAAAAGCTGAATTATAGTAAAACAATGTCATTTTCTGAATTTACCAGACATGTAGCTTTTCCAATAATTGCCTGTACCTACTTTACTGATGATCATTTATGAAGATTCTCATTGTGAAAATATGTTGTGACAGCCTCAATGATCAACCCTACAATATCATCACAAGATTGATACCGTAGGTGATCAAAAACATTGTGATATCTGATTTTCTTATGCTGCCCCTTCTGCTTGGAATAATATACAGAAGGACCTGAAACTCTCAGATTTGATCACTATGGGGGAGTTCAAGTCCATCTTAAAGGACAGAGAACAAGAAACCATTGGTCGATGTGATTGCTATATCCAATTGAAGTTGTTTTGTTGTACCAGTTTTTTACGTTATATAATAGTTTATTTTATTTTGCATATTGACTGGTTGATGTGCCATCTAATTTGTGTTTTACGACTGCTGTATTCGTCTGCCTGTATTGTTTTGTGTTCATTTGTTGTAACTTTTGTTCATGCTGCCCTCTTGGCCAGGTCGCTCTTGAAAAATAGTTTTCCATCTCAATGAGACGGTTAAATAAAGGATGTATATATATATTTCTTCGTATGGCCTAGGCCTATGAGAGCGCTGTTTGTCGTACCTGCGTATTTCCCCCCCCTGCTGCGCTTGATGAGGCAGAGGATGAGCAGGATGAGCACCAGCAGCAGGATGGCAGCGATGAGTCCGATCAACCAACCCCGAGCAGCGAACCCACCGGGCATCACCGACGGCGCTGAGGGAGGAGAGAGAGGGATTCATTAGGAACTGTTTACAATGTGCATTAAGCTTCTTTTTATTTTTTCCAATTTTTCCAACCCAATAATGATGTAGCACATACATGACAAATACATAATTACAAAGCAAATTAAAAGACAAAACATAACAAAAACAGCTCAGTCTCAAACATACATACATGTAGATGGTTACAGGAGGAGCATCACATGTATGATTGATGATGAATTTATGATTACAGGAGATTCATGAGGTTCCTTTAACGATAACAGTCGACAATTCAGGTCCAAGGAAATGTAAAGGTTCCCTATTATACTGTTTTTCATCAATATATTACAGGTCTCAGATATATACAAAACATGTCTCTGAAGTGTTTGGCTCCAAACACCAAACAGATCATTGCAGCATCCCATAATTCCCTCTGTTTCAGCCCTGTTTCAAAAGTGCTGATTCTCTGTCTGTTACTTTAGATGAAAATAAGGAGCCCCTCCCCACGCCCCTCTGAGAGATATTTGGTTAAAAAGAACACAATGGTGCTCTAGTGCGGCTTTCACACCAGCGCTTTTCCCTTTCTAGCTCCTAGCTAGAGCTTTTCTGGTTCAGCTCCGGTTTCCCTTTTCTGCTCCCGCTCTGTTCACACCGCCCAGCTGCCGCTGCTGCGTCATGACGTCACCGTTTACATCGCTGATTTTCTCCCCAACGGAGCTCACAACAACAACAACGGGCCGGGGACTGCGTTGGGTTGATGATCGTGTTGCTTTTAATCATACGAAGCCAGATTAAATTAAATAACGACTTCTCCAACCTTATACTTTTCTCCAGAGTGCCGTGGTTCGTTGTTTATTAATGTGTTTCAGCGGCATTTACCGACCGCTGCAGTGCTGGCTGCTCTTCAACGGGAGTTTATTCTCCCGTTAGCTCCGGGTTAGCTCACACGGCTCTAAAGTATTCACTGTCTGACTGTCACACAAGCAGCTGATACATATCCCCAGTTCCCCTTAAGTGAATGTGTGTCAGTCTGAATTGACGCTGTTTGGCATCACAACGCTGTTATGAAAGTTTCTCTGGTATAACATGGGTGATGTTAGCATAGCAACCGAAGCTAAACTGACTACTTGCTAAGCCGTTTTCTACAGGCACATTTTACCGGCGTATTTTTCATTATGATTCTACTTGTGATAGTCGGACATGACAACCTGTGCAGCCCATGTATTGATTCCATCCGATAGCTGCTATAATAACAAACAAAACGTCTGCCTGCTCTCCACAATGATCAATAACAGCGAACGGATGGTCAAAGTAAGGTACAAATAAACAGAATCACACGAAGCCTGGTTAGTGTTGCCTGACTTTATAAAGTGTGTTTTTTTTTTATAAGTGTGTGGTTGCCTTCTAGTCACTTTGCTCAGCGCTACTGCTTGTAGGCAGGCATGACGAGACTCTTCAGTCGACCCATGTTCAGGGGAGGTGGGTTTAGTTTCCTGCACGCCTCGACGTAAGAGAGACGTAAGCGACGCCGCCTCTAGCTCCGAAGCTCTTGCCTCTGGACCGACAATTTTTTGGAGCTGGAAGTGAACCGCATTCCGGAGCTATGACGCGGCGCCGCTGCGGTGTGAACAGGAAAAACCGGCGCTTTTCCAGCTCCAGCTCCGAGCCGGAGCTGGAAAAGCGCCGGTGTGAAAGGGGCATAGGAGGAGATTCAGGTGATAAGGTGGGGGGGGTTACCTTGGTTGCTGATTGGCTAATGGTTACACAAGCCAACAAATTGCTATGACATCATAAAGTGGCCAAAATCTGATCAGCTCATTTTCAGACAGGTTTTTATATAAATGGATCAGGACAAAAAGAGAGAGAATCTTTTTTCCTGAAACTTTCAGAGTCTCTTTACACAGAGGGGACACATGTTGATGTAGAAGAGACATGAAGAAGTGGATTTTGCACAATAGGTGACCTTTAAATAAGGCTGCCAGATTGTATAGAACTGGTCAGATTTGGCATGTAAAACATTTGTGAGATATTCCAGGGGAACCAACTCAATTATAATGTTGCGCCATGCCTTTGAGAGATGGGACCTGATCCTTAGTCCCATTAAGCTTCTTAACATTCACATGTAATGCAATATATTTTTAAATGTTGGCCATGAGGGTTGTGCAATACGTCGCCATTGTCAGTATGTGCGTCTGTGTATTGTGTTTGTGCAAACGGTGTGCGAGTAATGATATGTGGATGTATTTTAATGTTTATTATGTTTGTATATGTACATGTATGCGGAACTGCAGGACGGAGTCCAGAACAAATTTCATACGGGGACAATAAAGTATATCGTATCGTATCAATGATTCTCATGCAGGTAATGCATTACTGATTTTCTCAATGGAGTCTGGTGGCTGTGAAGTGAGCATAGGTGGATTCTAATGCTTCAGTTCCCGTCAGAAAGGGCTGTCAGACTGAAATGTAAAGTGACATTTAAATATGCTAAATTTAGCGTACACTTAAACTGATATTGATTTTATAAGGTGGGCCTTTTTGACCACTATTTGTTATACACTGGCTATGTACCTCATTAAACCTATTAGCAGTTCCTGTCAGCACCAATACATTTACAGACAACAACTATCACTGAATTACTTTGACATTGAACAATGCCTAGAAAGAATTAGGATTTCAAGACATTTTTGCAAGTAAGCGGCGTTTATAAACCTTCGAGCTACTTGGTTATTCAACGTCAGTACCGGGCCGGGCTTTTATCAGAGATTTCACAGTATTATGGTACACACACACACACACACACACACACACACACACACACACACACACACACACACCACACACACACACACACACACACACAACACACACACACACACACACACACACACACACACACACACACACACACCCACACACACACAACACACACACACACACACACACACCTGCTCCTTTGGTCCGTGTCACGTTCTCCCACTGAGTGTCGTTGATCATGAGGTGGTACTCAGATCCCGGCAGGAGGCCTTTCAGCAAATAGACACCTTGCGTGGAGTTCACCACCTCCGAGTCCAACCAATCACAGCCGGCTGCAGAAAACACACACACACACACACACACACACAGATTAGTAAAGTTGTCTTTGGTCACTTTCTATTACTGGAAAGTGTTCAATGCAGAGACCAAATGTCTGACTGTCATGACTAAAAGAACATATGTTTTCACTCTCTTCTTCTTCCATCTCCTACTTTCTATCAGACATCTTTTCTCCTCTCTACATGTTAATCTTAGAAGTAGTGATATGCAGATCATCTCGTCAAATGGATGAACCAATAAGTGCCTGTTAATAATTAATAAAGGCATCCTGAGTCTTCTCTCTTCCTCCATCTTTATCTTAGTCATTTTGCAGAAAAGTAAAAGCCTTTTCCCTCCTCCCTCTCTCCTCCTTCCCTCCCTCCTTCCTCCCTCCCTCCCTCTCTCCTCCTTCCCTCCCTCCTTCCTCCCTCTCTCCTCCCTCCCTTCTCTTACGGCTCTTCCTGCGGTATCGGATGATGAAGCCGTGGTTCCTGAATCTCTCTCCGTGCACCCAGCTCAGGTTGAGTGACGTGTTGCTGGGAACTATGTTGATGTGTGATGGAGCAACTGGAAGGAGACACAAAGAGGAAAGAGGGATTTAATCAAAAGTTGTAAATAAAGTGCATGAGACCCAATCCGACAGTCAGACACACCATCATCCTTCAACCAAGCCCTTTCATCACATCCCTTCAACCTCCTATTACTGCCAATATTACATAAACATGAGCGGAACACTTCCAATACTTCACCTCAACAATACCAATACATTAACCATTTCATATCTGCGATATTAGCCTAACGAAAAACAGTGTAAGAAGTATATAAAATAATACTAATGATATTAATATCTCAGGTGGAAATTGGGTTTTGTGACAGTTGATTTATTTTAGAATAAAAGGATACATATTTCCATGCAAACTTTTGAAGTTAAAGTAAAGACGTGAAATAAAAAGTTTTAAATTTAGAATATAAAATGTGTAAAGTAGTAGTACAATGCAATCAATCTGTATAAATGTGTATATTAAAATAAATGCAGTGATTTCTTAGATATTAATGCATAATGCACAGTTAAAAAGGGTAAACACTTAATAAACAAAATAACATAAACTGTATTTTATCCTCATGACAGCAGTCTCACCTCCGTCCAGCGCGGTGGCCCCGCTCCGGGTGATGGGGGGTCCTTCTAAAATGGTTTTAGCGATCACGTTGAAGATGTAATGGCTGCTCGGGTCCAGAGAGTCCAACTCAAAGTGGGTCACAGCCGGGTCCTTGATGGCCTCCATCTGCAGCAAGCTGTCCAGATCTACAAACACACAGTGGTGAAATCAAACAAGCTACAAGTGCTGTATGTCGGTATGTTGAGGTACTTAAATAATCAAAATACCCTTACCCTTCCGATACTGCACCACGTATCCCGTCAGGATGCCGTTGGTTTCTTCTGGAGGGCTCCAGTAGAGGATCATGGATTTCTCTGAAGTACTCTCCAACCTAAACGATGCAGGAGGACCAGGCGCTAAACACACACACACACGCACACACACACAAATATACTTGTTGTAATATATGTATTTTCTAAGACACAAAAGGTTGTTCTATGGTTTTCTTACAGTGTAACTGGTTAAAAGCAACACAATATAAGTATTTTGCCCCTGGCTCTTCACACGTTCATGTACATGGCCTCTCTTGTTAAAACAGAATAATATAAATATAGTAAAACCACAATTAGAAGAAGAAGAATAGTATGACAGAATACCGTAATTGGACTTGAACCGGCAACCCTTTCGGTTCTCCAAGTCAAGTCCCTACTAAAAACTTTTTTTAAACACTTGCACACGCAAAGGGTGCATGCACACACTTTATATATTTTTGACTTCTTCAATAGCTACATATTTCACTATTTAATTTAGTCTTAATTTACATTATTTCATTTCATATTCTGTTCTTGTACATATCATATCATATTAACATGTATATAGACTTTTTGCACTACTTTTTATTTTGTATTTTTGTATTTTATTATATATGTTGCATTGTTGGAGGAGCTCAGGTCAGAAGAATTTCTTTGCCATTTCTACACTGTAGCTTTGTGCATATGACAATAAAACCTTTGAATCTTGAAAGGAACGTAAGTTTCATGAACACTCACCTCCTTGTGGGGTGCGGAAGTGGTGCGGGGGGGAGCGAGGCCCCTCCCCTTTGCTGTTAAAGGCAGCGACGGACAGCTCGTAGCGGGAGTAAAGCCGCAGCCCCGTCACATCCTCTGAGGTCTTCATGCCGTGGACCACCACCTCCCGGTCTCTCTCCCTCGCTCGCTCCAGCTTATCCTCTCTCTCCTGGTGCTGTTTCCCGAGAGACCTCTGGACCCGAAAGACCTCCGGACCCAACCTCTGGAGGTAGATCTGACAAGGAGTAACGTTTAATTAATGAGCAGTTGGACCGAGAGAAAATGATGTATTTGTGCTGCCTTTCCTGCTTTGATAGACTTACAACTACAGCTGTAAACAATGAGTCATAACAGAAAATGTAATTTTGATTATTTATTTTGATCATTTATGAAGCTAAAAACATCTAATGCTCTTATTTCCAGCTTCAAATGGAAAGCCTGGCTGCTTTTCTCTCTCATTGTAAACAAATAATTTCTTATTGAACACAATGATGTTCTTTAATCGGCCACAAGGTGGTGATGTATGCACTACAAAGTAATGTGGTTCTTCCTAGGACAGCCCACAGATTAGGTTGAATTCAAAAAATGCATATGCTCATGGTATTCATGTGTTTTCTTATGATATATTATAACAGATAATTGTTCCGTTAATGTTTTGATCTGTGTGGAATAATTAAATACACATTTAATACCGTGGAATAGAAAAAGTGTTGTAAAAATGGATAGAAAATATTTATAAATGAGGACGGCATCCAGCAGAATTTCCAGCACAACAATTCACCAAATGATACACTATATAGTATTTACAGTATTAAATATAACTGTGACATTAGCAGAGAACAGAGTTTTTTTAGTTGAGTTGTAACATCCGTTACCTTGTATCCCAGCAGCAGACCTCTCACATTTTGGGCTTCTTTCCACTTGACTGTGACGGTGCTGTCCGTCACTATCGTGGAGACATTAGTTGGAGCTTCCTGCGGCTCTGAAAGTGTCAGAAAGACAGGATGAGTTTGTGTAAGAATAAACATAATTAAGTATTCAACAAAAACAATAAGCACCTTACACGTCATTATGCTCCCAGCATCACATCTACATTACTGATGTTACTGACAGACACTTCATGTGTGTAGCTTTGTCCTAACTTGTTTACTTTATTGACAAATATACCATTAATTTATCAGCATCCATTGTCCATCCCACCCCAATGTCATCATGGCCTGGGGGCTGGGTTATGACACTTCTGATCAGATCAAATAATCCCTAGTGCATTAATGACATCTTAATTTGCAAGTACTGCAAGCCTCCTCTTGGTGAGAAACGCAGCAGCTCTCAGCCCCACAGTAGACCAATGCCATTATGGCGCGTTTCCACTACAGCGCGGAGCACGGTTTAAGAGGGCTGTGACGTCAGCGGCCCGTCTTTGGTTGCGTTTCCACTTGGCCTAGTACCGGCCGGCGGGTCCTAATTCACAGTTTTTCTGGCCTCATAAAATTGTGGGTCGAGGGCCAGAGACAACGAGGCTGAGTCGGGCTGAGTATGCTAAACTAGAGAGAGGATCGCTGGCAAGGGGGCTACAACTACAACAAGATGGACATATTTGACCGTGATTTAATTGTAATACACGTTTCAAAATGATGCCGAAGTAACAACATACTGATACCGGTTAGTAAAAACCATGAATTAATGCTTTGACAAGTCTGCAGACAGACGGCAGGCGAAAAACCTTTTAAAATGCGTGTTTTCTAAATGGAGATTGGCTAAGGTAACGCAGTATATGCTCCGACCGTCCACACTCACAACAACGGCCTATACAGACATAAATAAAGCAGCGACTGTATTCGCCATTGTTAAGGAATAATTCTTCTAGATATCTAACCTTTTACTCTGACATATGTTATCTCCTCTAAGGAAAGGCCTTGGTGCCATATGTGTTGTTGTCACCAGTGTGAGACCGGTCAACTTGACTGGCACGTAGGGTAATTGTTGTGAGAACACTGAAGCACTTCTTTATCGGTGTTTGTGGGCTCTCGGATGTGAAATCCTTGAGGCCATGAGCGTTGGACGCAGATGATTCAGTGTTTAGTCTACTCCTTCAGAGATGTTGATTCTCTGTGAACCTGTTAAAAGGTCTAGCATAGAGAGAGGTTCTTCAGAATTGATGTGGCAACTCTACCGTGTAGTCAGAACCTCTGACTCTTTGACTTGTGATGTGAATCCTCCGGCCGAATACTCTGAATAAACCCATCAGTGTTTGACATCAAAGCTCCAACTCTCACCGTGTCTCCTTCCTGAGTCGGTGACTCCATGCATTACTACACAGAAGTTTCATCCACAAATTGGCGTTGTCGGCAGGATACCAACATATCTTCAGAGACTGGTAAGTGTGATTTCAAATCTACATTTGGACATTGCCTTACCAGAATCTGTGATTGACGGTATCCTAAAATTATCTGTGAAGCTAAGCGGCTGCGTTTCGTTTTGGTTAATGAACATTTGGGGCTATTAACCCCAGGGGATCATCCAGGGACTCTGTCCTGGCTGGTTCCCTCTGTGTGTGATGCTCGGACGTATGTGCCGTGCAGGCATACACGGAGATGTTTAAAAAGACCTTAATGAGGGCAGCAGTAAAGTGGAACTTCTGTGTGAAATCAAAATAGAGATTTGTAATGAACAAATCGCCGAGATTCCGGGGGTTTCAGCGGCCAACACTAGCAGTTAACTAAAGCAGCCAGAGATATTACCCCCAGCGCCTCTAAAAAAAACACAGCTCCAGCTGCTGCAGCTCCGGGGAATGTGTGTCAAATACCTCCCCGTATCTGCATGAGCTGGTGAAATGAACTCAGAGGGAGAAAATCACAGCTTTTGTCTATAACTTTAACTCACACCACCGCCGTCTCTATTAAAAACGAGACTGTTTAAAAGCACTCTCGTGGCTTGTGGCCATCTACATTCAGAGGTGTGCTGGCAGGTGCGAGGTGCGTGCATTACCTGATGCGACAGGCTCCCTACATTGCTGAGGAGCTGATGTCGGTCCGGGGTGCATACATAAAATTATAGGCTAATTGATCATGGGTGGGCAGTGGTATGCAAGTGTAGAGCAAAACTGTGTTTCATCGTTGGGATGAGCATGATGGGAGGTGTATAGGCTGGTCGAGTAGGACTACAGTTAACTGTGTGGTTTCGGATAGAAAGGGTAGAGGAAAAAAGTCTATGTGCTCTTGATCGGGGGGGCATAGCACCACTAGAACAGGGATAGTGGAGTCGCAAGAGGATAAGCTAGTTATTGCTCTTGGACTGTCTTCAGGCACCGATCTAAGGACTTGTATACAAGGGTGGAAGTACGAGTCAAGGTACCCCACTGGGTTCCCATTGGGAGAGATCAAATAGCCATGACACAGGCAGTCTGTGGTTTGTACTTGTTTAACTTTTGTCTAGTTTCTGAACAGATATGAGGAGCTGTGAGCTCTGAGTGCTAACAGCTAACGGCTGTGTTGTTTTTCTGGGGTTCTCATTGAAGATGACGTCACGGCTCCGCCTACACTGCGTTACTATAGATACTACCCCAGTTCCTAAACTGTAATGGAAATGCGCCATAAAGTGAGCCAGTCCTAACGAGGCCTAGCCATACCGAGTGAGGCCGAGTAGTGGAAACGCGCCATTACATTTTATTGGCATGCTGTTTCTATCCATCACTAATTGCGGATCCTGACTCTTGACCTAGAGACATTTTCCGACAGAAAAGACTTTGCTGCACAGCAGAACGCTTGTTTTCAACCACAAACAAGATCACAACAAAACAGATCTGTCATGTGTTTAATTTCTCTCATTGGATCTGACATTCCTGCAGAACAGGCCTCGTGGGATGCTCTGTGAAGATGTCTTTTTGTGAGACGATTTCATATTTTTTCACATCCAGAATGTCTTGTACAATAAGGGAATGTTGACCTCTTTTATGAGGGACATAATGACTCAGTTTAAGTACAAGACAGTTCTGAAAGAAAGTATTTGAGGCGCTGTGTAAAGAGGGTGAGGGAACAGTCTGCAAACAGATCATAAATAAAAAGTTCTTAAAAGTCATAGGATACGTCAGTCAGAAGGACTTTTCGTCTTGGCTATAAAGACGTTAATTATAGTATAACATGTGAGGATTATCAATGAGACATTTGAAATAATTTGTGCTAGAAGTACAACCTGTTTTAGTTCATTATTAGATAAAATAAGAACTGAATTTAATGAAAATATATCTTGATATTGAAGACTTTGTACTCAAATTAACTTAGCATTATTAGTTTACTCATATTGAAATGATTTGTTTTACTTTTAGATAAAATCATCGAAATGAACCTAAATAACCTGGAGAGATTATACTGTACCCACAGAGCCATGTTTGTTAATTTTAGGATATCCTTAATATTGTCACATTTCTTAAAAATATCCACATTTTTCCAAGAATGGCGATAACAACAAGTTTGGAGTCGCTAAAACAGTCTTTGTATCCCAGTGTCTGATGTTGAATTGGTATTACACTAAACTATGGAATCCATTTATTGTATTTCTTTTGCAAATTCTAGGAATTTTCTGTTTTTTTGTTAACCTTTTTTTATTCCGGAATTTTCTTTTATATTTCAATTTGATCTCCTTTTGTTTATATATTCATTGTCATTCATTAATGTCTTTTTTTTTCTCTTTATCATTTTCCATGTCTTTTTAAAATTGTGAGCTTTGCTTTTGCTTTGGTCTTTTTTTGTTTCTGATGACGATTGCACCAACATTGATTGTCTGAGATAGCCCAGCCTATACTACTCAGTATATGCAATTTCTAATAATAATAATCATGTACATTATATTACTATTATTTGTGCAATCTGAGCCATTGTCTGCCACACTGTCTTTGCATGCAAACTTTGAATTCAATCAATCAACTAAACCTTATTTGTAAAGCACTTTTCATTAACGAAGTGCTTTACAAACCCAAAAAAATATATATACTATATATTGAAACAATATCAACTACAAATAGGTGCAGTTTCACAAAACGTAATATCGTGATACTCATGTGTATCAATATTTGCAACACTCCCTACGTACCGTCCTCTCCGGAGTATCCGATCTCCGGCTCCGGTGTCGGTGCCCCCCCCCACGTCGTTGACAGCCTGGACTTTGATCTCAAACGGTGTGTACGTCCCTGTGTCGTTGATGACGTACGGAGGCGTCGCAACGTCTGCGTGGTTCCACTGAGCGTCCCCCCCCCCCACGCCACGACACGTGGTACTTGAACCCCTCGCCGGAGTGGAAGCGCTTGTCCATCTCCTGCAAGGATAGGAAACGTAGGAATACAACATTGATTCAAGGTTCAAGGCTTTTATTGTGTGCAGAGCTACAGTGTAGATACATCAATGAACATCTTAGGGCACAGGCTCCTCCAACGGTGCAACACAATAAAACAGATAAGATAGTACAAGTAAATAAAATAGAATAGAAACAGAATATGATAGAAACTGTGCAGAGTAGTCTATATACAGTAATTGGAATATTGACATGTGAGTTGCAAACAGACGAATTTTGTGTATGTTCTTTCAAAAGATCAGATGTTTAACAGTCTATAACGTGTTTTTATTTTATATTTATTGGACCTTTGTACCTTGATTCTTATGTTTCTTATGTTTGTACATTTTGCATTTTTATTTATCTTTTTTAGTTTGTATTCTAATAATGAAAAACTCACTAAACCCAAATAAATCCCTGCAATAAGCTGGCCCTAAACATTTTAAATCAATATTTGTATTTTATTATTTCTTGATAGAACATTTTCACTTTCTAAAATACTACTAGTTCTTATGGTTGTATGATATTTGTTCTTTTTATTGCACTTCGTACTTTTAATGTTTATGTAATTATATATTTTTTATTAACCTTTTTTAGTTTTTATCCTAAAATGAATCAACTATCACTAAGCCGAAATGCCCCCAATATGCTGGCACTGCTAATGTTTTATTTGAACATGAAAATACTCACGTCCCAGGTGATGATCATAGTCTTAGGATCTGTGGACTCGCTGCGCACACCTGAGGGGTTTCTGTCAGGGACTGCAGGAAGATAAAGGGAGAAAAACACTTAGTAAAGGTATAAAACAAAAGCTTTTAAATAGATAGATCGACAAATACATTTGTTTGCTTTATGAATATGAAATAACTCACATTAATTTGCAGTTAAGCCTAAATACTGGATAGCAATATCTACCTTAAAGGTGGGGTAGGTAATTTTGGAGAAACCGGCTCGAGATCGCTAGAATTTGAAAATACACAACCGGAGAAAATCTCCCACTTCCTTACAGAGCCCCTCCTCCAACACACACGAACGCGCACATGACCAATGAGGGCACGAGATAAGTTTGTGCACAGATGGAAGGCTGACAGGCAGGTAGGCCATCCAGTTATTTTAGCCGGGCCGGCTCAGATGATTGGTCGTACTTTTTACAGTATTACGGCTTCCACAGATGACATTTTTTTATGGATTTTTTGTCAAAGCACTTAAGATATTCATTGCTATCGGGATGTTAAGAGCATTCCATGGAATATAACAAAAAGTGTATCTCGAGCCGGTTTCTCAAACTTACCTACCCCACCTTTAAGGCACCTTGTAGCTAATAATAAACAATATATATTTATTATGTTTGTCTCATTTGCATTAGAAAAGAGGGATAAAACAAGATGTGGTTCTGAAAGGAAAACTCCATCCCAACAGGGACCGTTTGTAAATCCATTTCTCACACAGTGTTACATACAATTCTTTAAGAAAACGTTGGTTCTAGCATGCTTACACTCTTCCTGTAGATTCCAAGACTCATTTGTTCAGTCATATGCTCACTTCTTTCAAAACACAGGCCTTTTTAATATAACAATACTGTTAAAAACACTTTTGCATAAAACAGTGCTCCGATTGAAGACCAGCTTGTCTGCAGACGTGTGAGAGTTTTTATGCAGAAGTATTTAAAAAGTTATGTTTAGGAAAAATACTGTCTGGGAATTAGTAAGCACGCGATCAATGAGAATTTGATTAAACTAAGAATTATGAGTTTATTCTTATCGTACTCATTTGTTTTCTTCAGGTATTCAAGCCAACAATCATTTCAAACAAATATTTTGGTTCCTGCGTTTTGCACATTATGTTCTCGATAACATTACGATTAATTGTGTTATCGTTACAGTGTCAGCGTCTCACCGGCAGGGGGGGTTTTGTGGTGGTCCGAGAAATGGCTGGGGTCGCTGTGGCCGATCTCGTTGACGGCTATGACCCTGAAGCGGTAGGTGCAGTACGGGTGGAGGGTGAGCTCCAGGTGGTTGAACTCCCCCGGCACCTTCTTCCACTCCTCCCACCTCCACCTGCCGTGCTCCGTGTGCTGCTCCTCACGAGCCTCCACGATGAACTCTGAGAGAGACAGGGAGAGAAAGATCACTTTAAAATGTCCTCTGTTGCCATGTATAATGTGACAATAAAGATTTAAATTACAACAAAATACAAATGTCCTCAGTTACTGAAGACAATTAAGATGGCACATTCTTTTAGGTAATCCAAAGTATGCAGTACATTTTTATAATAAATCTTATCTGTATACTAGTGGATTACTTTATTAAAATGAGCAGAGCCTGCTCAAATGTTTTGTATGTGTGTGTGTGTGTGTGTGTGTGTGTATGTGTGTGTGTGTGTGTGTGTGTGTGTGTGTGTGTGTGTGTGTGTGTGTGTTGAGTACCTATGATGGGGCTGTTGTGTGTTTTTCCTGGGTTCCAGCTGAGTGTGAGGCTGTGGTCAGCAACATCAGACAGAGACAGACCTTCAGGAGGGTCCGGCCGGGCTGAGGGTCCAAATCAGAGCTGTTAGTGTTACTGCGCACCTCACACACACACACACACACACACACACACACACACACACACACACACACACACACACACACACACACACACACACACACACACACACACACACACACACACACACACACACACACACACACACACACACACACACACACACACAGAGTGACATACCCACGACAGTGATGGAGCCACTGGCTGTTACGCTTCCCAGAGCAGTGATGACCTCACAGGAATAACGAGCGCTGTCGTCTGATTGGATGTTGGTGACTTTCAGGGTTCCATTATCAAATATCGTGTGCCTTAACAAACACACACACACACACACAATAACAGCATATAAATATATTTATAATATAATGTGTAGTTTAGTGTTAAAAAAGCAGGCTTTCTTGCAGTCTAATAATAGGTCAGACACACAGATGAATCGCTTTAACATGACTACTGTATATATTATGTGTTTTAGTTTAGCTGGGGACTTTAGTATCTGAGTGTGTGTTTACTTGTCATCTGGAGACGATTCCTGCATTTTGTGTTCGGCCTTCTTCCAGACGATCTGGTACTTTATGAGGCGAGGGTCTTTCTGGAAGACACAGTCCAGCAGAGCGCTCCTTCCTCTGAGCACACGCACGTCCTGCGGCCCGTTCAGGATCACCGTTTGGTCTGACAGAAAAACACAGCACAGTGAGAACATGTGTGACGACCAGTCTACATTTCTTTACTTCATTGTATTACATCCTTTTAATACACAATCTTTTTTTACTTCTTATGAATGTAAAGATATTGTTTTTCAATTGTATTTGTGTCTTTTATTAATATTGTACTGTACATATATATGTTTATATAATTATTTCGTATTTTAATTTTCTTTTAACTTTTTGTTAGTAGTATTTGACTTTCACCAAACCCGGGATAAATACAGTATTTTCATTCTGATTCTTGTGTTTATTTCACTGATCTTATATATATGGATATCATCTTATTTCTTTTTCTGGTTTCCCATATGTAACATCAGACTCACTGTAGACCTCCAGGTGTGCAGAGATGGAGATGTTGCTGTGTTTGATGGAGCAGCTGTACTCTCCGCTGTCCTCGTGACTAACGTCGGACACAATGATGGAGCCGTTGGTGAGCAGAGCGACACGAGGGTCCGACAGCAGAGGAAGCCTGTCCTCCCCCTCCCTGCAGAACACACACACACACACTTATTGATCTTTACATAAATTAAGGTGTCTCTGCACAGCTCGGTCCCTCCTGAGTCTTTTACCCCAACATTAGACACATGCAGAAATTAATCTCACAGCAACAGCAGTAACTCGATCGATGGGAGTGTGTTTCCTGGCTCATCATTGAATGGAGGATAAACAGAAGAAGATCCATAAAATATGGGCGGAGGGAGTAAAGAGAGGATAAATATCACTCTGAAGGCTGTGAGTATAATGTTTAAGGCCTTAAGCAAATATTGTCTGTCTACCTTAGTTATACACATAGATACAAAAGTAAGAATTTAAGAATAATTGTGTTTCAGAGGTTTTACAAATGTGTTGATGCTGCCACCTGAGGGCGCTGCTACCTTAAATGAACAACATTCATGAAGAAATCACACTCTGATTTCAAATTTGGAAATACATGTTTTTTCTTGGATAGCAAGGGGATGAAAAATGTTAAACTGAAAAGTAGACACACTCAAGTCAAATACAAGTACCTCAAACTTGAGTTCAATATAAGAGTATACAAGTATGTTCTTTGTTACTTCCACCACTGCCAAATGGGCTTAACGTGGACCAGATTGGTTGTAATAATGAATGATAGAGAAAGTAATATAATTGCATTTTAGGGGTGTTGGATTGAGGGCCACAGATGAAGTACCACAACATAAGTGTGTGTGTGCGTGTGTGTGTGTGTGTGTTTGTGTGTGTGTGTGTGTGTGTGTGTGTGTGTGTGTGTGTCTCACCATGTGATGTGTGGGCGTGGCGAGCCGAAGGACTCACAGTCCATCACGACGGATCCGCCCTCAGTGAATTTGTACACCTTTGCATCAGAGGTCAGGATCTGAGGAGGGAGCTCTGAGAGACACACAGGGTACACATGGGAATATTTCAATAACTAATCAATTACATCAGAGTTAAAAATGTTTCTAACAGTGTGAGGGGAAGTTGCAGCATGTACATCCTCAATAAGTCGATCATTTCAGACAACATATTGATTTAAAACATTACTGGATTGCTCCCACTAAGAAGAAAAAAGTGTCGGTTATTGTAGACAGCAACGTGACTTAAAATGAAGGCAGCAACGATGGAGGTCTTCTGTAACTGTCCAAGTCTTTGACATGTTATTTTCCATTAACCAATCTTTAAACACCACCAGAGCCCATACCGTGTTCCTGTTAGTGTTTGCTTCCTGTCTGTCTTCCTCTGCTGTTCCGTTCAGTATTTAATTCCTGTCTTTTATTGCTGATTTCTCTGACGTCCAACTCCCTGTGTTTTTTAAACCGTCTTGCTATTTATTTGAGCTGTTTTCTTGTTATTACTCTATTTCTTTACCATGGACAGTTTAGCCGGCCTGAATCCAAAGGTTTGTACTCCAATAAAACAATACAATTCATATTTAAAAAAATGATTCCATGGTGTTTTCTGATAAGGAACGGAAACCAATGTATGTTTTCGGCCAAAGCTGACGTTAAATTGACCAAAACTCTTTCTGCCTGTTAGTGTGAGACATGCCTTCATTAGCAACAGTCTGCTATACAGAAATAACAGACCACAGAATGTCCAGATTGACCAATAAGAATCTAGCATTCAACTAAGCCATGTAGTAGAAATGACTAATCAATTACATTACAAAGAGTTTTGAACTAGCTACAGTACACACATCCTTTACTCAAGTAGAAGTACAGATACTCGTGTCTAAAAATACTCTGTTAAAAGTAGAAGTACTGACTAAACTTCTTTACTCAAGTAAAAGTAAAGAAGTATGGGCTTCGAAATGTACTTAAGTAAAAAGTACCCATAGCTACCATCTGTTTTAAAGAGTACCTGACCTCCCTTTATATTAATAGAACAATAATGTCATTGTTAGCTAATGAATGTTTCCATGCTGAACAACGGCAACATGACAACGTTTTCATTGGTCCCTCTTCTTTAGAGAAGACCAGGAAATGATGGATACACGGATCGTGTTCAAATCAAAAGGCACGCAATGACTCTAAATAATAATGATCACGCCACCAAACACACATTCAAACTAAAGGAACCAGCCTGTTTGGAAAATGTATTTATAGGTATTTGTGTTCAAAATGTAAGAAGTAGAAAGTACAGGTATTTGTGTTCAAAATGTAAGAAGTCAAAGTCATCAGAAAAATAAGAAGTGGAGAAAAGTACTGATACCAGAGAAATGTACTTAAGTACAGTAACGAAGTATTTGTACTCCACTACTTCCCACCTCTGCAAGCTAACAGGAAGTTGCAGCGTACATACCAACAACATAGAGGTAGGTGTTGAGCAGGATGGAGCCGTGTTCGTTGGACGCCACACACTGATACACAGCGGTGTCTGTAAACACCACGTCCCTCATGATCATCACACCCCCCGACACACTGCGACGAGGGGTCATCATCCACATCTACACAGGGGGGGGGGGAGGTGAAGAGGTTAGAAACAGGACTGAACAATGTGACCTTATGTGAGTTTGTCAAACAGAAACTCTCTACAGGCTGAACACAAAGATGTGTTTAGATAAGGAGCGGAGGTCCAACAGGAGGAGCAGCAGCTGTCCAGACCCTGAACTCTCACTGTGGCAGCTGCTGATCCTCACTTCTGCTCCTATAGTTCATGATCATAGTCTTTATTTCTACTCTATCTCACATTTTTTATCTTGTTTCTTCTTTTCCTTTCATCTGACTTCATTTGTTCTTTCCTCTTTGTCTACAACGTCCTTCTTTTCATGCTTATTCCGGTTCCTTCGTCCTTTGATTTTCTCTCTCCCCTCCTTCCTTCCTTTCACTCTGTCTTATTTTTTCATTTCCTTCTTTCCTCCTTTGATTTCCTTCCAATATTTCTTTCCATTTTTTTACCTCACTTCATTTGGTCATTCCTCTTTCTTCATTGACTTCCTCCTACAATGTATTGTCTTTCTTCCTTACACTTTCTCCCCTCCTTGCTACCTTCTCCCTCCCCCATTTTCTACTTTCTTAACTTCTTATTCTACCTTCCTGCGTGTCTATCTCCCTGTTGCCTTCTATTTTGCTACCTCCATAATCTTTCTTCTACTTGTCCCTAAATCCTATTCTTTCTTTCTGTTAAACTCCCTCTCTCTCCCCCCCCTCTCTCTCCGCCCCCTCTCTCTACTCCCCCTCTCTCTCCCCCCCCCTCTCTCTGTGGGAGTCAGTTGAGGACCTGGAGTCCATCTCCTCACCATCCTGTTTAATTCATCTGATGTTAAAAGGCTCTCTGTTATAGTGGACCAATAAGTTGGACTGCCTGCAGCCGGGAAATGATCGCTGCTCTTACCTGAAATCTATCTCTGGTCCTTTAAGCGTTATGTAATATAATACTGCAGTCATATTTAAAGTGATCCAAAAGAAAAGTTCGCTCAAAAAGTGCTGATCATTCAAAAAGGACATTTAAAAATATCTACTAAATTAGTTGTAAGTGCCAAAAAGGGCCGAGCACTTCAGACATCATCATTTGCTGACGCAGGTACTATAGGATCTGGAAAAAGTGTAGAAAAATGTCATATTTATTAACCCTTACCCTGACTTTAAAGAAGAACATAGCTGCAACAAGACAGAGAGGCTAAGAGTATCTTTAGAATTCAGTATAGTATTGTATAGGAGGTTTTATAGCAGGCTAAAAAGTATTTTAAAACAATTATTAAAAAAAGAAAAGGCTATAAAAAGGTAGATTCATAAATCTGTTTGATTGAATTTGGACGCATTCACAGATGAAGGTGTAATGAAGGGTTGTATGACTTTAAAATAGTTCAGTTATGTACAATATAGTTCAGTTTTTATAATGAAGACTTCTTTGCTCAGAAGGGGAGTAAATAACAACACAACATTGGTATTGGCGTTGGCCAAATGTTTGCTTTAAACAATGATATCATCCCAGAATGTAATATAATTATTAGTGCATCCACATCATATCATCATCAAGCATTGAAATGATAAATGGAGGGCTGACTTCCTGTTTGTCGACACACTTAACTACAAATAGAGTCCAACAACATCCAGGATCCATTAAAGGTCCCCTATTATACTGTTATTCATCAATATATTATAGGTCTCAGATAAATACAAAACATGTCTCTGAAGTGTTTGGCTCCAAACACCAAACAGATCATTGCAGCATCCCATAATCCCCTCTGTTTCAGCCCTGTTTCAAAAGTGCTGATTCTCTGTCTGTTACTTTAGATGAAAATAAGGAAAATCGTGATGACATCATAAAGTGGCCAAAATCTGATCAGCTCATTTTCAGACAGGTTTTTATATAAATGGATCAGGACAAAAAGAGAGAGAATCTTTTTTCCTGAAACTTTCAGAGTCTCTTTACACAGAGGGGACACATGTTGATGTAGAAGAGACAAGAAAAAGTGGATTTTGCACAATAGGTGACCTTTAACGTACCTGAGAGCAGCTCTCCGTTGATGCTCCAGCTGATCTTTGGGGTCGGGATGCCTTCAGCCTGACAGTCCAGACGCACCGTTTCCCCCGGAGCGTAGCGCAGACTCTGAGGCGCCTTCACCCAGTACGGAGGGGCTGCAAACACACACACACACCACTGTAACACACTGCGGCTACTACACACACACCTGTAACACACTGCGGCTACTACACACACCTGTAACACACTGCTGCTACTACACACACCTGTAATACACTGCTGCTACTACACACACCTGTAACACACTGCGGCTACTACACACACCACTGTAACACACTGCTGCTACTACACACATGTTGGTCTAACAGTTCAGTTATGATATCCCAGTTTTGAGAAAAAACTGAATTATAAAAGACAAGATGAATTCAAGATAAATAGAATAAGTAGATTAACCTGAAGGGAGCTTTCTAAACGTGCTAATTTTACGCATGGAGTTTAAAAGAAAAGGGTTAGGAGTTGCATTATGGGAAATGTAGGTTTCAGTGTTTGTAGGACATCAAGATAATGTGTGCCTAAACTTATAATTGCAGTGACTCTATAAAATTGTATGTAGGTACTTTACATGTCAAATTCACTTCTTATATATGTTCACTAACTTCATAATGCTGCTACTTATTTCTTCGCTACCATAAATGTGCATTGATTTGATTGTATTAACAAGTGCCTGGTCTTTATTTAATACGTGAGTCTACTTATATTAACTTTGCCCTATATCTGGACTGTCCCCTTGCTTTAACAATGTAAGATCTCTGATTTGATGTGCTGCACTGCACAAAGTCCTGATCTTCCTAAAATCCTATATCAAGCCATGAATTCTAACTGAACTTGTTTTGAGAATAATCTGCTAATCAAGAGCTGCTTGTATAAGATGATCAAGTTTTAATACATCTCATTCTCATTTCAAAAATTCTGCTTAAGTCTAATTATCCCTCATTAGCCGCAGATCATCATACCTGTTTCAAGTCTGTGCCAACTCAAATCACGTATTGTTTTTCTTGTTTTAAGATGGATGTTTTGTTGCAGTGTGTGTGTTCCTACCTTCCACAGTGAGGGTGAAGGAGTGTGAGACGGAGCCTTGGTTGTTGGAGGCGATGCACTCGTACTCCCCGTCATCATTCTGCTCGATGCTGTCGAAGCGAAACCAGCGACCGTGTGAATCTGAATCCACCCTGCCGCTGGTTTCCTCCAGGCTGCCATCCTTCTTCTTCCATTCTACCTTTGGAGTTGGTCTGTAGACACACACAAAAAAAACACACACACACACACACACACACACACAGACACACACACACACACACACACACACACACACACACACACACACACACACACACACACACACACACACACACACACACACACACACACACACACACACACAGGATTAAACGACAAGCAGAGAAAGACACACAAAGTGAAAAAGTGGTGGATGGAGATGGATCGATCGAGAGAGATATTGAGGACATTAGAGTTGAATGAACACAGATGATCCTGTTAATGATGTAATATCCGATTTCATCGTTAAGGCAAGATGATAATGACCCTCCATTTACCGCCATGGAGACGGAAGTCCCAGGGGAAGCATGATAATTAGAGCAAACACAAAACAGCAATGAAACAGAGGAGAGATGGAATTATTTAATAAAGAGGATTAGTGTCAAACCTGTGTTTGGTAAGCAGTGTGTGTGTGTGTGTTTGGTAAGCAGTGTGTGTGTGTGTTTGGTAAGCAGTGTGTGTGTGTGTTTGGTAAGCAGTGTGTGTGTGTGTTTGGTAAGCAGTGTGTGTGTGTGTTTGGTAAGCAGTGTGTGTGTGTGTTTGGTAAGCAGTGTGTGTGTGCGCCCATTAAGGACTGAGGGAAAACAGGATTGGATTGCTACCTGCTGTCATACTTAAATATTCAAGATTTAACTGTAAATTAATTGCTTTAATCAAGCTCAGTAATGAACATTTAATCTGATGATTTGAACAGTTGTCTTCAATTATAACAAAACATTAATTGTGTGCATAGATTATACAGGTGAAGGATGCGTGTGTGGCTGGGTGACCATATCTTTTAACCAAATACCTCAATATTGATAATAGGACGATATTGTAGGGTTGACTACTGGTGCTCTGATACGAATTGAACACTAAAAGATAAATGATCATCATTAATCATCATTAATTACACGTGTCATTTTAGAATATGATGATACCTAACATAAAATCTAGTCTCAGATCACAATATCAACATACTATTGATAAATTGCCCAGCCCTAGTGTTATCCTTCTTCTGTTTACATACTGTCCGCATTATATTCAAGTATCTTCATATAAATGCCTGTATGAGAGTTTACATATTGGAAGGGAGTAGAGGCTCTTATTGTGAAATAACCAGGAAGTGTTCTTATTGATTCAAGAGTGAACTACTGCCAGTCAATAAAAAAACACCTGTACTGTAGCATGTAGTTTTCACTTGAAATTATAGTTGTTCTACTTCTAATGTATATCACACCATTTTGAACTGTAGCATACTCATGCACATACATACATGTAAAAAACCTATTTAAATCAAACACTTTCTGACCAGTAGATGCATCAAAATCACACACTAACAGCTGCACACCACACACACACACACACACACACACACACACACACACACACACACACACACACACACACACACACACACACACACACACACACACACACACACACCCACACACACACACACACACACACACACACACACACACACACCACACACAGAGAGGTCCTTACAGGCCTTTGGGGAGACATTCGAGGACGACGCTGTCGCCCCTGAGGGCCTGCACGGAGCTGTGGGAGCCCACGGGATGGAAGAAGTCAGGCTTCTTGCCATGAACAAGATCATTACCTGGAGGGAGAGACGGAGAGAAAAGCACATCACACTGTAATGTTTTCATCGTAAAAGTGTAGATGAGTTTTTTTTTGCTTTGCCTGATTTTTTAGCCTACCCTCATTCAAATAAATACAGTGGACAATATAATAGAAACACCTGTCACTACAATTTATAGAGAAGCAATACTTAATAACTGGCGTATGTCTAAAATCAGTTAAAGGTGTATTATGCAACATTTCCAAATTAAAAGGAATACAAAAAAGGAACTATATTATATATTATGTTGAGTTGTGGGCTCACATCGCAAATGTTTTCAATAATTTAAAATCTGTAATTGTTAATTTGCCTAAGGACAACTTTTCCCCTTTGTGCATGTCATAAAATTGTATTTTTTTCTAGTTTAAAGCCACATTTCGATTATACATTTGTAGGCCACTTCACTGTGTGTGTGTGTGTGTGTGTGTGTGTGTGTGTGTGTGTGTGTGTGTGTGTGTGTGTGTGTGTGTGTGTGTGTGTGTGTGTGTACTCACTCTGCATGACAGTGAGGTGGACAGCAGGGAGAGGGAGGACCGTCCTGGCTAAGGTGTACTGAGCGTTGCAGATGTAGTCGCTTCTGCTGTCTGTCTTAATAAGATTAGAAAAGTACAAGTTCCCGTCCAGGCCGACCATCACTCTGTCGTTCAGCTTGATGTGCACCATCCCTGAGGGAAACACGACACACAGGCGGGACAAGTTAAGGTACAATGATGTCAGAGGGGAAAATAAACTATAAAGGTTGTTACAAAAAACAGGAAGGCTCTTTAGTGGACTGCAATATTGACTTTTTATATGAGTTGAACAAAATGGAAAAGCTAAAATGCACTTATTCAACAGGCAGGCAGTGAGAGGGGGAATCAAGGACAAGAAAAAGGAACCATTTAGAAAAATAGAGCCCAGACATCAGCTGACATTACTGCATTCATTAGTTTGAGTGGAAATGATCTGCAATGCAGCGCAAATCCCTCCTCAGGGGACTCAGCTGGAAGGAGAGATGAAACAAAAACATCAGACAAAGCTGCTCAGATTGTGGAGACTTACAGAGAGGCAGACATAAAGTGTCTCTCTGTCTCATGAGCTGGACAGAAGACATGAAGGCAGAAGATGAAAGACAGACTCACTCCTGTCCATCCAGTGGATGTGCGGGGGGGGTGGAGCTGTTTGGAGGGTTGCAGGCCAGGATCATGCTGTCTCCCTCGTTTGCTTTCTTATCGACTCTTTGCTGTTTTAGAAGAACCGGTTGAGCTGAAACACAAAGGAGAAGATTATTAGTGAAGAACCATGAATCATCAACAGCAGAAATTAATCTGCAGGGTTAAATGCCCTATTATGCTTTTTGTGGTTGTCCCTTTCCTGTAGTGTGTGATATAGGTTTCTGTGCATGTCAATGGTCTGCAAAGGCTAACATCTCTGTGTTCCCTCCAGAGGAAGTTTCTCCCCCACACACTCCCCCGCCCCCCCCCTGAATAAAATGCTTCCATTTGTTTATTTGACATGACATCACTATTTAACACCTGCGCTTGTATTGTCTCGCGCTCCAACACATTGTACGTGATAGGCTGAGGTATGGGACATCTCTGAGCGGTTGACCAATCACATCAGAGCAGATACCATTTTTTTCTTTTGTACATTAAAGCATGTAAACATGTCCTAGAAGAGGCATAAAATACAAACATGAAACCCGAAAATGGTTATCATATGCCCCCTTTAAAGGTGGGGTAGGTACGTTTGAGAAACCGGCTCGAGATACACTTTTTGTTATATTCCATGGAATGCTCTTAAGATCCCGATAGCAATGAATATCTTAAGTGCTTTGACAAAAAATCCATAAAAAAATGTCATCTGTGGAAGCCGTAGTACTGTAAAAAGCACGACCAATCATTTTAGCCGGGGGGCTAAAATGATTGGATGGCCTACCTGCCTGTCAGCCTTCCATCTGGGCACAAACTTATCTCGTGCCCTCATTGGTCATGTGCGCGTTCGTGTGTGTTGGAGGAGGGGCTCTGTAAGGAAGTGGCAGATTTTTTCCGGTTGTGTATTTTCAAATTCGAGCGCACTCGAGCTGGTTTCTCCAGAATTACCTACCCCACCTTTAAGGAATAGGGGGGTGAGCTGGGGGAATTTTTTTAATTGAGTTTGTTTGTAAAGAATGTTATTTTTCCTTGTAAGTAAAACATGTTAATTCTGCTGTTGTTCAATGTGTTATAAACTCAAGTTGTATATATAGATGCATGTTGTAATTATTTGTAAAATGATTTGGCAATACTGTATGTCATTATGATCATGCCAATAAAGCTTTTTGATTTTGATCTACGGTCTTGTCTGGTAACATGATACCTGCTGAGTCAGTAAGGTAATGAGGCTTCCTAGTTTCTCTTTGTTGCACTTACAGCTTTTTCCTGTTGCAGTTTGTGCCGTAAATGATGCAGTGAGCTGCTGCACTGAACCTGCAGGGAGTCAGAGCTCCTTTTTTGCTTCACAGTTTTTTAATTTCCGCAGAGGTTGCTATCTTTGAGCTTACACTACAGTTTTTTTATCCTCTTTCTCTGCTCGAGAAGTAAAACTGTATACAGCTTTCATTTCTTCACAGTTGGTGTAACACTGGATCAAAGAGAATGGTACACATATTGATTGCAAGAGGGGGAGGGCGTAACTGTTAGAAAAATGCCAGGATCCTTCATAATTATAAAGTCGGCTTCAGTTTTGTCACTGACGCAGTAAAGGCTACGCTGCCTATAGACATGGTTGTAGAAAGAAAGGGAAGAAGAGGAGCTTGTAAACCAGGAGGTCAAACATGTTGCCTTGAACATCTAACCATCAACGAGAGAAACATCAAGAGAGGTCTTTAGGATTTCTTTTTTAAATGCAACAGTTTACATTTTTCTTTTGTCAGGTAGTATTTTATTAGTATTTAAAAAATAAAAAATTGTTGTCTTGTAAATCCACTTTAGCTACAACCATTTTTTAAACAATATACTGTATATCATAGTGATTGATCTCCATAAAGACGACCCTGAACTATGACATCCCAACCAAAAAAAACAAAACATGCACCCCCCGCTCCGAGTGACGTTGCAGCTCTGTTTCCAGGAAATGGTCGCTATGGTAACAAGAGATGAGAGAGCAGAACAGGTGGCCCCAGTCAACCCCACTGAGTCACTGAAGTGTGTGTGTGTGTGTGTGTGTGTGTGTGTGTGTGTGTGTGTGTGTGTGTGTGTGTGTAGACAGAGAGAGAAGGGGGGATTTGTGTCTTACTGTACATGCTTCATAACATTTCATTCATGTGACGATGAGTCAGCATGTGTGATAAGTGTCTGTTTGAAGTGTGTGTGTGTTTGCAGTATGTGTGTGTGTGTTTGCAGTGTGTGTGTGACTCACGCTCCACGGTGAGATGTACGGATTGTGTCATGGCGGTTCCCAGAGTGTTTGAGGCGTAACAGCGGTAGTAGCCTCCGTACGAGTCGAGTGTCTCTTCTTCATCTTGGGCTTTTAACGTCCCGAACTCTTCACGCTCCGACCCGAACGCCTCGCCGTCTTTCACCCAGCGGAAACTGAAGAGGAAGATAGATATTTGTATCATGACACAGCAATACAAAGACAAATTCACATCAACTTAGATGTCATACACAGGATTACATATGTGTCTTTGCAACAAAAGAAGATATGGCATTACCCTACATTTCATTGCACAAAACAAATAAACAAATAAGCAGACTTTGAGATATTTGTCACGCAAAAAGAAACACTTTGGAATAGTGCATTTTCTGGATACTATTTAGAAGAGCAGATTAATCCACATTAGGTGCTCTAAACTTTCTATAGAGTATTTGTAGGACACTGTATGCAGGATTGTATAAAGAATGTACCACAGTGAATGTTCATGGTTATATGAACATGTCACCCAGTGCAACAGTGTGTCTCATTCATATGTTATTAATAGTTTTTGGACAACAATGGAGCTCTATGGAACAGAGAAAGAAGACATCCTTGACATACAGAAAATACTAGTTAGGATTCATGCAAAACCAAACTGTATTAGGAAGTCAGTTTTTAAGAAAGTGTTGTCATACACATGAAGCTATATATGTTTGATTTTTCTTTACAGATGTAATGTCTTCAGTAGGAGCCAATGGGCTGAGGGCTCTTCCCGGGGTTTGTCAACATTAACACCAATTTTGAATATCGTCCGCCTTATCATTTAAAATAATAAAATGGAAATTTGAATTTGAAAAAGGCAGAGAATGATGTAAGAGAGGATAGTGGAGATCAGGCAGGGAGCAGTGGGAGGAAAGGAAAAAGGACAAAGAGAAATGGAAATCCAGAGACATGATTTTGTTATTGCTGTGATTCTATTAGAAGAGCATTTATTGCCATGCCAACAGGAAGGCCAGAGGGGGAGGAAGTGGAAAGACGTCCAGACACAGTCATGTCTACTGTGTTCATTATATTTGTCCACTCTGTTACATATTGTGAACACACGCACACACACACACACACACACACACACACACACACACACACACACACACACACACACACACACACACACACACACACACACACACACACACACACACACACACACACACACACACACACACACACACACACACAGACACACAGATGTAGCTGCTGTACGTACGTGGGAGTTGGGTTACCGGTGGCCTCACAGGGCAGATTGATGTCTTCGTGAGAAAAGGCTGTGTACGAGTGTGGCAGCTTTGTCAGCTCCGGAGGCTCCGACACTGAACACACACACACACACACAGTAATTAATGACTTTGCAACATACACCTGAATGTACAGTAATTACAGCTTATACGAGCAAGCAAATACAGGAGCACAAGTATTAGGAGGACAGGCCGTCATTGATCTGAAGTAGAAGTACCCAACAGTTTGTTTCTGACATACATTAGTGACAAGTTTACTGTCTCAACTATTTATTTAAAACACTATTAACTTTTAGCTAACTGTTAAGAGTTTACTAGCTAAATATTGTTCATCCATTTTCAGTTGGAAACATGTTAAAACAGCTGACTCAATATTTATTTATGTTTTGCTAAATCACATCAAAATGTGTTGAGCTAAAAGCTTTTATGTTAGAGATCTTAATGATCAACAGTACACTGTCTCTCAGGACATCAGATGCTAATAATGCCTTTTAATACCCTATTAAACCCTTTATACTCATACATACTTTATACTTCAGTCCACCAGTAGTTCCAGTTGTAAATCTGAGCTTGATTAATTGTTGGATTTCTCAATCCCTTTAAATGTGATGGACTCATTAACAGATTCCCAGAAGGGCTAACTGATTCCTTTTAAATATCAAATATCAAATGTTATGGTTACAGTCAAACCAACAAAGAAAATAACCAGCATATTATGGCAGTAACCACATCCTGCTCTAAGTGCTTGGCTTATGAACACAATAAAGCTTGTTGAAAGAGTGAAAGGTGGTTGAAAACCACAGCAGTATTATGACTCAGACTGTATCTGTCAGTTCAGTCAATATGAAGACAGTAGCTTAGCTCAAACATGTGGAAATCTGCAAAGTCTTGAGTTTCTACTCCTCAGTTTTTGTTTAGATTGACGAGAAATGTTATATCAGTCAGTTTTTTGGAGAAGAGGGTAGACAGATTTAGTTTTTGTAAAGTCAGCCCCCCCGTTTCCAGTCTTAATGCTAAGCTAAGCAGCTTCTGGCTGTAGCATCATATTAAGCATGCAGCAGTACAGAGGTTTCAATCTTCTCAACTGATTCTCTGCAAGAAAGCGTTTAAGAATATTTCCTTCTTTTAATTAAAAACGTCCCCACTGAGATCAAGGATTACATGCATCTATTTAAGTTAAATAAATTATTCATTAAACCCTCAATTAATTCCAAAAGCCAAGCTAAAATAAGACGTAGATTTATTTTAATGCGGGGGAAGTTGACCTTTTGGAGAAATATTATTACTTTTCTTAGCAAGCAATGACTTATTTTTTTATGTGAATAGTCTACCTGTCTTTGCACTATAAGATAAATAAGTACTCTAAAAAAGTCTAAACATGAACACATTCAACATTTCCCCCCCAAAATGTACTCATGTCACGAATTAAATAAAGACAATTCTGCTCAGTGACTGGAGAAAGGCTGCAGGGACGATGACGGACAACAGGCAGTCGGCGATATGGCAGCAGCAATAAGACATATTGGACTGATGGCCTCTATCATCGAGATTTATTGGTGAGTGAAGTGCATTATACGAGAGCGGCCATCAAGCACTTCTTCATGTCACAACAAGGAGAGTCACTTACTGTTATACACTTGATCTGTTTGTCCACACGTAAGCAAGGAAAGGAGAGCAGAGAGAAAACACTTAGGCAAGGGCAGACGTTTCAGATGCTGCAGACTCACACAGATATTAGATGGAGGTGTTAATGGCAGGTTAACATATTTACTTAAAGGGGACCTATCATGCAAAATGCACTTTTGTACGTCTTTTATACATGAATATGTGTCCCCGGTGTTCCAGGGAACTCACCAAGTGTCAGAAAACACAACCCTCTCTATTTTCCTCCATACCCAAATCTCTAAAAAAGGGGCTGCAACGGATCTGATAAAAACTGATCCAGATTTGAACACTGTCCTGACGTCAGGACGGTGGCGCTACAGCTATTGGGCCAAATCCACCAATCAGGAGGAGACAGCCACCCCATTGCCGTTCGAAAGCGCTGGAGACGCTGTAGTACATATGCCAGGCCTGTAGATGGTGCTGTTCTCACTGAATCCGCCCTTGCTAAAACAGAGCTAAAAAATGTCAAATTGAGCAAAATGAGGCATGGCTAAAATGCATGATCTGTTTGGTATTTTGAAAAAAAAAAAAGTATAAATATGCCTTATATAGGTATGGTCCTACACTATATTATTATAATATAGCATGATAGGTCCACTTTAATTATAAACAGTGGTGGACATTTACTGTACTAGCAGTATTTTAAGTCTTTCAATTTTCTGCGACTTACAATTCAGACTTTTTACTTAACCACATTTATTCAAAAATTGAAGTATACCAATAACATGATGTGTTGATATGATATATATACCGCTCATCTACTCAAAATCTACACAAATAGTCCAAAATGTGCCCCACATTGACGAATCACAACATTAAAAATCTCCTAAATATCTGTATTGGTGATGAAAACTTTGATAATATAACAATATACAGTAGTATTCTATAGTAAAACAACACTTTTAAAAGAGACTATGGGTAATAAGTGTTTATACTTTTGATACTTAATGCACATTTGGCTGATAATCCTTCTGTATTTTTAATGAATCAACATTGTTTGTTGAATCCAGACTTGTACTGGAGTATTTTTAGATTGTGGTATTACTACTCAAGTAAAGGATCTGAGTATTATGTCCACCACTGATTATAAATAACATGGATATTATAATAAGTTGTGTAAAGGATTTTCCTCCCTCTTTGTTTTCTGACTCAGACACGATGGCGTCCTGGATCCATTTACATCTTTCCCCTCTCTGTCGTCTCCTCCCTCCCTCCTCCCTCCTCCCTCCTTCCCTCCCTCCTTCCTCCCTCCTCCCTCCTTCCTCCTCTGTATTCTACTCCTTTCTCCACCTTCCCTGTCCCCCCTTATCCATCTCTTTCTCTTCACTCTCTTATTTACATCCTGTCTCCCTCCCTCTCTTCCTCTCTCTTCCTCCCTGTGCCGCACCCTGAGGAGAAGGTCACTGGATGAAGGTCGTTCTGAACCTGACTCCCCCCTTCTCCCCCTTTGGGAGCTTCACGCCTGACATTTCTGACCTCTGAACTGAACCCCTGGGCCAGAGGTCGTCATAAACCTGATTGTTTGGATAAGTGTATTTGTGTTAGTGCTTATGTGAATGTGGTTAAATGATAAGTCTCTCCACATGCAGCCATTTTGTCTTTGCACGATTCATCCCAAGACTATTTTTTAACAAAGGCCAAAGCAAACAGACAAATGAAGACAAGAAAAGGGCACGCAAGCAGAAGAAAAAACACAAGTGCCACTAAAAGGGTTTCCTTTCTTTCCCAGCATAAAATGTAAAGTTACTTGCTGACACCTGATTTTACGAGGCTGACATTAATAACCAGAGGTACACAACGTAAATAGATATTTTGAGGAACCAGGTAAGACACTACAGGCAAAACACATTGTTTTCCAATGCGAAGGTTGGGGTATTTGACCTCTGAAATACACATTTAAGTATTATTTTTTTTACTTAGTCTATTTGTGTCTGTAGATTTCCCCTAATTCCCCCAAAGTTAGCATAAGTTAATGCCTCGTTTTCATACTTAAACATAACAGGAAATGTATAATACAGAACAATAATTGTCTTAATGTGTGTAAAAAACTTGGCAAATGTTATGTTTAAAACAAGTCAGAAATCTCCAGTGTAGCAGCACTTAAATACACAAAACGTTATCATTCATAGGCTGGTAAATAGAACATTTTATTCCTATAATAATGGCAAAACCCGTTTGTTTTAATGACTGCTGTCAGTGGTAAAGAGTTCCCAAAGGTCCCCTGTAAATAACTATTGACTGTAATATGTCAACACAATGAACAATCATTTTGAACCTTTTGTTATATTTTTAAATGTTGGAGATATATGCAAATGAGCACATACTAGGAAAATGCCTAATTTGCATATTTACACATACCATTTCAGGAAACTAGTAATAAGGAAGAGAATTGGGGAGGTTTAATGGTCATATCTAATCGTTTTTTTGCCTGTAGTGTTATAAATAATTCCAACTGGTGGCCCTAAAAAAATGTAAGATGTTGTTTTGAATCAAAATGTAATTCAGGATGGGAAACAAAACACTTTAGGACACTTTTTATTGACATTCAGAGATGCTGATGTTGGGGTACTCACAGTTTTCGGGGATGCTGATGGCTCCCTGAGCGAGGGGAGGCGTGGAGGAGAAGAAGGACAGGAGGAGGGGGAGGAGGAGCAGGGGGAGGGCGGGGGAGACCGGCCCCCTATAGCCCGTCCACTGTGACACACACATCTCTCAATGTCCCATGAAAAGTGTCACAAGACACCCACACACTCATCAACACATACACAAACACACACCCTCCCACTTTATCCACACACTTCAGGGGGAGCCTCTGGAGAGTGGAGAGGAGTAAACAACTGTATTAAGTGTGTGTGTGTGAGTGTGTGTGTGTGTGTGTGTGTGAGAGTGTGTGTGTTTCTTTCACAGTGATGCTCTGAATGAGGGTTCTGCAGGTCTTCGATCCGTTATCCCGCTGCAAACTGAGGAGAGAAGAAGGAGAAGAGGAAAGGGGGGAGAGATTTAGGAGGGAGAGGGAGGATTGACCCGAGAACAAAGGAGGGATGAGGGGGGGAGGAGGGGAGGGCACACAGGACAAGGGGAGAGAAAAAAGAAAGTACATCATTAATTTCATCAAACATAAATCATCCCCAGAAACAAGACAAATATTAATTTACTCCAAGGAGGAGAATTGACTTGATGTTGACCTACAAATTAGAAATTCACAATTAACCAGGGAGTGCGTCTGGAATACAAATATTTCTCTAAATTTAGACAATGTATGTATGTCTGTGCATTTGTGTGTGTGTGTGAGTGTGTGTGTGTGTGTGTGTGTGTGTGTGTGTGTGTGTGTGTGTGTGTGAGTGTGTGTGTGAGTGAGTCAAAGGCATGAGGTCATCCTGATAGAGACAGAAGATCAGATCAAAGCAGCAGGAAACATCTCCTCCACTAATGACATTACAAAGTAAGTGTGTGTGTGTGTGTTTTTCTGCCACATCGACTGCTTTTCCATTCATCTAAACATCTTCTCTTTTGTCCGCGGCTGCTGACTGAACACTGACCCGTGACAGCAGGAGTGTCAGGGGGGGTAGAGGGGGTTTAAAAGCAGACACAGATGGATCAGGCTTTCCCTCTTTGTTCCTTTTTTTTTTTACACCGCCATGCAGGCCAAAAAACCTCACAACTCCAACTTTGGTCATTTTCTTGTTCCTACTTGAGGTGAGGGATTACACACACTCCTCCGTGGGTTGATGGTAAAGCTTTTCGAAATCCTTTTAAAATCCGCTCTGCACTTTTTTGCAAACTCACACTCGTCCTAAAAATAACAGACTGGCACTTCTGAGCTCTTGGAACGAGGCAGCGGCTCCGTCTAAGGGAACACTTTCACAAAACTAAACAAGAAGAGATGAATTCAAGGACTTCCCGTCAGAGAACAAACATGAAAAAGACAGAAATAGTGTTCGTCTTGAGGGAGTTTTCTCACCTACATCCCTAGAAATTAGTCATGCTTTTTGCAGGGAATCATGATTTCTGCCTGGTATTACTGTAGGTCCATTTGAAACACTTTTCTTAGTAAAGTACGGAAGTGTTAAGGCTGTATGTAAGTGAAGGACCTGCGTGTTATAGGCAATGACAAAGTGCTTTCACGTCCAACTATATAGCGTACAGTCATGATATTAAAAGCGTGGTTAAAACAGAGTATTCCTAAAGCACATTGTAAATGGGTACTGTTTTTAAAATAAAACACTATGTTAAGAGTATTATGTAATGTTAAATCAGGAAAGCTGGACATAGAGTGATTTCATCAACAATATAACAACTAAAGTGTATTTTCATTAAGGTTGGAAATAGAAAAACAATGTGGTCTAAGTTAAATATTCAAAAGGCCGGCTTAGAGCATAAGGCGGGACATGTTGACTGAAACTCAAAGTAGCTTCTGTTACACGTGACATGAATGGGATGAGGCATAGACTCAGTTCTGTTGGTCACACAGCCAAATCTACCTATTTGCAACCATAAATCACGCCTCCTACTACCATCCATTATGTGATTTTGCTGACGCTGACACATGCCTAAGGGAAGCAATTTGGGGTTCAGTATCTAATGGGACACTTCGACACGTTGACTGACCCTCTGATTGGTAGACTCCCATTGACCCTCTGAGCCACAGCCTAACCACACAAGGAAGGCTGTAATAATTGTATTGCTTATGTGTTACACATTTTGTTTAAAAGAAGTACAATGTGTTATTTCTGCTTGCTCCCGCTAGTTTTAAAAGAGTCACTACTATGTTTTGGGGGGTTTTCCCTTTAATATAGTGTGTTGTATAGGTTTGTGTGCATGTAAATGGTCTGCAAAGGCTAGTTTACCTCCAGAGGGAGTTTCTCTACCACACACTCCCCCCTGCCTGAAACTCCTTCATTGGACTCCTTTATTTACTACAGTAACGTAGTGACATCACTATGAATATAATAAGGAATTGAAGAAAGGAAAGATTGAGGTTCTGGTAAAATGTTGATTTCTTTGACATACATAAAATAACAAAAATTGACCATAATCTCGCATTGAGAGGATGTCGTTGGTACATTTTGTTGATAAGTTCAGTTTGAACCTTTTGTGATTTGGCAGATATATTGCACATTTAAATTGATTAATGAAGCTTATGAAAATGTGCGATATCAAATGTCCTCTGACTGTACGGACACCAGCAGGATACAAAGAGTCCTTGAAATAAGAACAGACAACAAGGGCAGAGGAGGTGACGGGAGCTGTCATAACTTATCAATCTCTGGATGTAACGGCAACACACACACACACACACACTGGGTGAGGGGCAAAAAGTGACAGCTGGCTAATGTAGACCCCCTCCTACATCTAATCATTACGCAACCTGTCCCCAGCACACATGTCTCTCTCTCTCTTCCACACACACACACACACACACACACACACACACACACACACACACACACACACACACACACACACACACACACACACACACACCACACACACACACACACACACACACACACACACACACACACACACACACACACACACACACACACACACACACACACACACACACACACACACCCCCCCCCCATTTCAGCTCCTATTGTTGTCCGATCCTCACCCATCTAGTCTGATGTTGTTGTCAATTATGAGTCTTGACACACACACGCGCGCACAGTCAGATAGACACATCTGCCCTCCTTCACGGTCACTTAAACCCACATACGCACACACACACAGGGACACACACAAAGACACAGGGTCACACACACAAATACAGAGAAACACACACACACAGGGACACACACCTGCCCCCGCTGTTACCTGCCAAGCTTATTTACAAAATAAATGATCCAAACAGAGCAGTGGGACGTAAAGTATGGTGTGTGTGTGTGTGTGTGTGTGTGTGTGTGTGTGTGTGTGTGTGTGTGTGTGTGTGTGTGTGTGTTGGGCAGTAATGAGGGAGAGATAACGACCAGTGGTAGGGGTCCCCACAGGTAATGAGGGCAGACAGAAAATGGAACAGACGTACAGAAAATGAATGATGTCTGATGGAAATGTGTCCCAGCATGCTCCAGTTCTTGTAATAATACCCGCCTCACACACTGCGGTGACATTACACACACTGATTCTGGTGTGTGGTTGTAACTCGTGAGGACTTCCTTTAATTTAAATATTCATGGGCCTCCTACTGTGGCGCTGAGTTAAAGAGAGGGGGAGGGCCGGCGCTCATTAATGAATTAAGTCTTAATCTGAGAATGCATGATGGCGGGTCGGCGCCTCTTCAGACCTAAAAGTGTGTGTGTGTGTGTGTGTGTGTGTGTGTGTGTGTGTGTGTGTGTGTGTGTGTGTGTGTGTGTGTGTGTGTGTGTGTGTGTGTGTCTTTATTGAGCAGCCTGAAGGCACTTGACCTCTACTGAGTCCTCTTGGTTGCATTTCAGTTTGCATGATGACATTTAACTCACAGTATTGTTCACTTTACATTGTCCATAACACAATATGGCCTCTTGAATTAAATCACACAGCGAGCCATTAGAGATGAGAGTCTTTGGAGATGAGAGATGTGCAGGAAGAGTGTTTCAATCCGGATAGTGTTAGTTTTAAAACCTCCCAAATCCATAGTTTGTCATTTAACTATACTGTATGTTTTAATTCTTGTTTCCTGTTCACATTGGCTTTATTTCCTCCTTGTTTGGGGTCCCAGGTGCATACACATGCAATGTGTCTATAAGTCATAATCATTATAGAACTGAGTCCATTGGTCTATCAGCAGAAAGGGATTTGTCAGACTTTTTGATGCATTAATTAATCAAGAAGAGTCATTTGTAAAGCTAAAACTACACATTCTCTCTTGTTCCAGATCCTAAACTGAACATTTGAACTTTTTCAAACCTTTTTTATGTAAAGGATGTTATATTTTAAGCTTTTGGAATGGTGTTAAAAATATGTTTTTTTTAAGATGTGGGCTTGGAGTGAGTAAAATATTCCTAATTTTGTTGTATTAAAATCGAGTTTTTCTTCACAATTTGTATGGGCAAATTCATATTTATTTAGTTTGACAAAGTGTCAATAGCAGACTTCTGAAAAAATGCCATATGTAAATGTTTATAAGCTATTCTTTTAGAACTAGGAGAAGCCAAGCCACGTTCTGTGCTTCCAAATTGCACAAGGATTCTGTAGAATATTGCCACCATTGTCGATACGATTGTCTCCCAAAAGCCTCGCTGTATGCGATGTGTCTGCTGCTGGGGAAATGAAGCCTCCACTCCTGTGCATTGTTACCAACTCTATTCAAATGAACATAGCTAGCAACAGCTCCAAAAGTAACAAAAGCAATTGTCAAAATAATGTAATTTGCTCATTTGCATATTGGGGACTTTATGCAGTTTAATTTGCATGAAGCTTAGTGGTTGTATATGTTGCAGTGAGGGAGTTAGAGGAGAGGGAGGGCCCACGTGATGCTATCAGAAAAATAAGGCGGTCACTGCGATTAATCTGAGCAGCATTGGGAGTTAATTACAATATAATATATTTTAATATATTTCTGGCTTTTCCCTTGATGGTTTATAAAAAAAGTGTCTACATTTGGCTTTGAGGAAAACAGAAAACAATGTGATCGTCAAAGCTTTGCGAGAATAAAAAAACGCTAGTGGGGAAAAGGAAAAAAGTTGTCTATTAACAATTATGAAACAATTTTAAGTGTGTTTCTTGCTGTAACAGACACTGAAACATTGACGTTAATTGAGTGTATTCATAACTGTTTTAGGTTTAGTTGAAAGTAATAATGTTAAGTTGAACTGATATTTATTTCTTAAACTTAATAATATTGCTTTCATCTAACCTAATTTAGTTATGTGACATTTGTTGACATAATACACATAATTAAAGTCAACGTTTCCGTTTTATCAGCGGACGACCCCAAACACATCACGTTGTAAAAGTTTGTTGACAGCAAAAAAAAAGC